AATAATATTACAAATGCGTGTTGGGGCACAAGGTGCTATTATGAGCTATTAAAATTAAATAGCCATCGCGTAATCACGCGTATGAAATATGCTACCCGCGTAGCACAGAACGCACGCTAATCGTTACAACTAAAACCTTAATACTCGCGTATGATATAATAATATTGCGAGCGCGATTACGGTCGATCGCGATCGCGCCTCTTTTCCTGTTTTATAAAACTGTAGCGACACTCGTCCCGCGGAGCAATCGATAAAATTGCATCGTTTGTGATAAATCGAAGCGAAATGAGGGTCGGTGAGAAAAACTTTGTTTTGATGTCCCTGAAAAAACAAAAAAAAACAAAAAAAAACTACAGCGTACCGTATTAATCCACGCGCAACATTTTGTTTCTTGCGTTCGTGCATTAAAAGCTGACAGATGCTTGAAGAAAAACGACGCTTTTCCTCTCGGTTTCTAACGAACGGTAGAGGTCATGGGTTTTAATTGACTTCCGCTATTAAAGTCTAACATCGTACAAACACGCGTATTAATCTTTGAAGATGCGGAGATCAATTGTTCGCGTATTTATTAAACGACGTACCCACGTAGCAGTAGTTTTTTTTTACGATCCCGGGTGTTTTTTTTTTTTTTTTTTTTGCGACGTTTTCTTTCGGAGAATAATATAATTTTTTCACAAAGAAGATCAGAATGCATTAACGTATACTGCCTCGCAACATCGTCGTCTAATTAAAATCACCGGCGTATTTTGTTCCCGCGTCAGGTTTAATTACCATTTCTTGGAGCAAGTAGACGCAAAAAATTGCCACGATTAAAGAGCCGACAGCGTGTCATCACACCGCGTGTTCTCCCGTTACCTTGTCTTCACTATGTATGTCATTGAATTTTTTTTTTTTTCGAAGTCTCGCTCGGAGTTTATTATAATAAATCTCTCGGTGGAGGAGATTAATGAGAGAATTTCTGCCACACGGGATACAACGGTTAAACGCGGCGTGACAGTTTTTTAATAGATTGTATTAATTACAATTAATAGAATACATTATTTATAATTTTAATATTATACGTGTACGATTTATTTTTATTTAGTTTTAATAATATTATCATTTTTGTTTGCCATTTTTTCTGCGTACAAGATCTCATTACGTAGCCGTGACCGTTTCGCTGAGAAAACACTGCGCACTGCGTAAAGGACATTCAAGGAATTACGAGATCGTACGTACGTACATACGTGTCGACATCGTGTCGATTCTCGATTGACGTGAGCATTACACACTGACGTGATATATCGACCGGTCGTTCCCTTTCAAGTTACGATAATCTTAATTAAGCAATGAATACGTGATCTGGTGCGCTACACGCCGGCGTCCTAATGATGGGCTTAGGCTTAGGCTTAGGTTAGATCAAACAGGCAAAAATATGTTTCTGTGCTTCTGTACCGGAAAAAGCGCGCACCGATGCGGAAAGCCATAACACTAACTCATTGCGCAACGTTTAAAATCTTCGCGCGTGTGTGTGTGTCTATCAGATTGTCTAAACGTTTAAAAAAGTTTGTTTCCATTCGGCCTCAGAAAAATTAAACCGCGAACTCATAAATTCGCTCGTTTGCGAGGCTCTACGCGCGGTTTAATTAACCGCGTGTTACGACGTAAGTTTTACACATGTGAACATAATTTTTATATCTTTTTAAATTAAATTGTTGATAATACATGTTTAATGTTGACTGTTATTTTATCGTATTTGTTATTATGTTGTTTGTTGGCAATGAAATAAGATTCTTCTTCGGATTGCGAATGTTTTTCTCAACCGCGGTCACACTGGCGGAAGATAAGAGCGTCGTGTGTTCGAGATTCGTCAAAAGTAGTAAATGAGCAAAACGGCCTGTCCGTGATCGTTCGAAAATATTCATCGCGTCGTTAAAAATATTAGTAGAGGAAGCTATAAAATAAAAATATGTAAAATATACCTCGGCGAAACATCCATTCCTTGTTCAAAATCTTCTCACGCGAAATTTGCGAGGTCATGATATATATATATCGAATTCAGGTTTTGATAATGAACGTTTTTATCGATGACATCGGGAATAATAACGCGGATAAACTGGAAATATTTAAATTGCACGCTTTTGTGACCCAATTTGGACAAACAAAATTATAAAAAGAATAATTTCAAAATTTATGCGCGTGTTTTTTTTAAATCTGTAAATTTTTCGAGACATAATACGTCGTAATTTTGTTTTATAAAATTCTCGTCATTAAAAATACAACGTGCTAAATTTAAGCCTCATTGTGACAACATTTTCTCACCGACGTTACTGTACTTTGCGACTGTAAGAATTACGCACTCCTCGTTAATTGTAATCAGTTAATTAGAGCACGCGCGATTTTCCACGCTCGTTCAGATGAAAAGGCCCAGATGCGCCCACAGCGCGAGCGCAATCAAGTTCACAAATCGCGTAACGTGTTTCGTAACGACGAGTCTCCGTTCGCAGCAATTTCGACAGTTTTGATAATTTCTCTGTAAATCTTGATTGTGTTTCATAGTGTCGACGCCAGTAAATAAACATGTACGTAAAAAATAAACACGATTAGATTATCACTTTAATTCGTGTAAAAGCAAGCGCGAAAGATAAGCGGAAATTGTTCTGATTTATGTCGACAACATCTAATTTTTTTTGCACGTGATTATAAACGAATCGCGAATTAATATCTTATGTACACACATAATTTTGTTTTCCTGTTACATATATTATCGGGAGTGAATAATTTCACTATGCGCGAAGACGTGATATCACGCAGCGAAACTATTGCGAACTCCTGGATATCAATGTTTATGATGCTCATTAACGTTAATTGCGTGTGTAACGTGCGTCAATGCAAAACCGGATCTAAATGCGCGAAACAAACTGCTCTAAACGTGTTATAATTTCGTTTTAGATTATTTTAAAATCGAGATTTTCAATAAAAAATATACATTATATTACCGCATTTTTTTTCATAATTTAATAACTTCCAAATGTAAACAAATGCAGCTTCGAGACTCGTTTCAAATTCCCGTACCCCTTCTTGTTCGATTCCCACAAGATAAACGGAAGCGCGTGAGGAATTCAATTAATTTCTTCTGTTTTCTTTATGGCGCGCGACGCACCGTACACATGCGTAAAAAAAAAGAAAAATAACCACCTCGCGCGGAACGGAACAGGTACATTGGGTCAGATGGCGATAAATCGAGGTGCCGAGACGCGAGAGAATCCGCGAATGGTAAGTGCCGGAAAAAGAGGCGCGTATCGCCGGCGAGACCCAATCCCGACACGTCCGCGAGAAACCGCAAAAGGGTCGCCCGGTAACTCGCGGGAATGCGTCGAGAGCTTTACCGAATCCGAAGGTCTGGGAAACATTGAAGTCAAGGTTGCCATATTTGTTTGCGATAAAAAATGACCGGCCTTTTGCGGACACCGGTTTTTCAGACGTGGATGAGAGTAAACTGCGTTTCTAATGTACAGCATCGTGTGCGTCGTAACGTTGATTTTTTCTTTCCTAAATGATTGATACTATTAACAGTAAAATAAAAAGCGGTCGTTCCTCGGACTCGTCGCAGAAACTAAAGAAGAAAATAAAAAATGCATTTTGCGCGCTGCATATTCTTTCGAACGAGAAACCAAGAATTTTTACAAAATAATAACAAATAAAACAAGACAAATTGCGATTCGCAGAGAGAGAGAGAGAGAGAGAGAGAGAAGGAGAAATACGAGAACTTTTTTTTTCCAACATTCTGTTGGAAATTAGAAAGCGTAATTCGTGGCACGAATCGCACAGCGACGCATAATTGACAATTTTCACGTAGCTGACGCGACGTTACTTTGTAATTGCCGAAGTGCGTTGGGAGAGGGAGGGAGAATTCGTTTCGCGCGGTTTTCCTTCCGCGGTGGAATTCTACTCACGTTTTAAAACTGCGGCGCTTTAGCGAATAATTTACATAATGAATTGAACAACGGGGTTTTTTTTTTTTTATTATTATCGACGTGGAGTCGCTCTTTAAAGAAATAATTGATTCTCGAGGGGATGATATTTATTAGGAAAGATCTCGAGATCTAGAGAGAAGTTAAACGATGTATAGAGAGACGCGGATTACTTTATATGCGCGCAGCTTCAAATCTAAATCCCCGTTACCTGTCTCGTTACTTTTGCTCTCATGTTCAAATCGGGTGGCGCAATAGTTTAATGATCGCGCAACTCGCGACGGAGGAGGTCGCCGCAAACGTGCATCGCCGCAACGTGCCGAGAACGCGATTTCGCGAAACTTGGCGCGAGTTGCGCGATATAGCGCGCATTATCTTTTATTTCCGTGTGACATAATTCGGCGGCATTTAAACGCTCGTGCTTCGCGCTCGCACACGCGCACAATCGATTTATACATACATCGCGGCAACAGCGGGCGAGCGAGCGAGCGAGCGAGCGAGAAGCATTCGCCGCGAAATGCACTTTGCATTCAAGTGCAATATTAACAACTCCGTCTGTTATCCGGCAATACTAACCCGCTAATTAGCAGCTGTAGTTCCTCTTATTATGCCTCTTACTTTGCGAGCGAAGAGTAACTACTTCTCATCATAGAAACTGTTTTTTTTTTCCTTCCTTTTATTAAATCGTAATGAACATACTTGAAATATCGTTTGGTTTTCGCAAGAATTTTTAGTGAGTAGATCTATATATCTATAATTCTTCTTTATCTTCTCCGCTTGCGCGCGGGTAACATACTTTCTATATTTGTGCATGAAAGTACGTAAACAAAACGATGATTTTAAAATAAGATCTCGGCAACAAGTTTGGTAAAACTTATTTCTTTTCAATTTTTAAATTAATGTGTTTTTAAAGAGGCATTTGATTTATTCTCTTGTTTGTGAAAAAGACGACTATCTCTCTCTCTCCCTTTCTCTTGTTATTTTTTTTATTCTCGCAATAAATAAAACTGATTTGCTTATTAATTGGATTGTTGTTTTATGACTGACCTGAAGATACGGGCTCGCTGCGGACAGGACCAGGCGATGAGCTAGAAATCTCTGGCCTCCCGGGCAGCACAGGGTCACGTCGGCGAATCGCTGCGACAGTATGGCCTCCTTAAGGATGTCGCCGACATCCGGTGCCCTACCCGAAACGCGTATCACCTCTCCCATCATGCTCTATTTGGTGTGACCTCAACACACACACGAAAGAAAAAAAAAAAAACAACCGCGCGTTTCTCAATGACAAGTTCATTTACATGAGACTTATCTCATGCCATAATTATATAAAACGGTTCTCCTTGTATAAATTATTATTCTCTTACTCCCAATTCTCGTCGTAAATTTGAGCGCGAAAAACCGGTTCCATCGTCGTTTTGCCGATCAAACTTTTGGTCGTTCACACGATTCCACTACGGTTTTTTTTTTCTCTCTCTTTTTGCTTGTTAAAGAGATTTTATAAGAGTATTTAGTTACAAAGTATTTAGTTACGTTAACGGATGTCGTTCCAGGTCGCATTTGTGATGTAAAATTCCTTTGTTGATACCGATTCGCGTCGCGATTCACTCGTCGTCTCTCTCCCAACATGTGATCGATCGATCACGTCCGCAGGTGACATTTATGGACTTCGTCGTGTAACGAGGTAAGGAATTGCGATCGCATGATGATTATTGGCACAATAATCGAAAGATAAGTATGTTGACATCCGTTGTCGCGCATCGTCGCGTGGTGAGAGATTTATGACTGACCGTGTTTTTTTTTCTTTTTTTTTTTTCACCAGATTTCAATTTCACACTCTCATCGTTAGATTAGTCTCGGTCTTTTGTGTTATTCCGTTTGTGATCCTGACCACACATTAATCTCTCTCTCTCATCTTTCATTTCGAACGTTTACGTCGGACGAATCAATTAGTATCAAGTTTTTTTTTTTCCACACATTAACGGAAAACAAATTTGAAAGCGTAGAAATTTAATAACATACTTCTGTCTCTCAAAACAGTGTTTTTTTTTTTCGTTATTAAAGAACACTTTAATAAACAGCTTGTAACAGATGTGCTAAATAAAAATACACACGTACAAAGTCACGTCTATATATCACAAGTGTCATTTTACAAACACAATTAGTCTTTAATTATGATATTTTTATTTTTGTAATCGGATACCGTCATTAATTATTGCTCGCGCACGACACTTTCTTCCTCGGCCGTCGCTCGCGCGATTCCCATAAATCTCGGCTCGGTTTCTTCTCGCGATCGGTTCTTTAATCGGCCACCTTTTGTAGCTCCTCGTCAGTATTACGCGATAATTCCGTCAGAATGCCGTCGGACGAGTCGATTTCACGACAAAATTTATACACGTCGTTCTACGGGAACCGTCTCTCTGTAAGTTGTCGATTTTAACGAGCGACAATTCATTCATTAAATACCGGTTGTCACATTTTTGTTTTTTTTTGTTTTTTTTTTTTTTGCAAAGATAAACTTCTCAATTTTGATCATCGAAACAACATATCTCGAAATGGTCGATGTTCACTTTCTTCATGCGAGGAGGAAAAAAACAGTGAGTTGTTCGATTCTCTCGAACGTCGTCGCTCGTTTAACACGTGATCGATCGTTGCGATCGACGTGCGCGCTGAAAGGATCGACTCTTCTTCTGCATGCTTTATCGTGTCGCAATCACACGGCGCGGCACGTCATATTTTGCATTCGCTTCTTATAAAATGTTTTGCGATCTGACACCTAGCGGATTGCGCAATCTCGAAGATTTCTCTGATCAAAGTAGAGCAACGGAGAGATCGAAAGTATTCCGCGGTTTGTTCAAAACTGAGAAATATAATTTTAATCGGATCGGTGTTTTAATTCACAAATTGTTTTTCTTGTTACGAATTGTGTCGCAAGTCGACGCATCGAGAACGTTCTTCCGATCGAATCTCTGATTTAACCATCGCTCCAGGTTCGAGTCACAATTAATTAAACAAAGTTTTGATGAGAAAATAATGCGTGCGTGCGTGCGTGCTGAAGTTATTCCCCCGTAAATTAATTGTAAAAACAATTTTTTTTCTCTCGAGTGTCTTATCTTCGAAGTTGCATTGAGAGATCGAGAGAAACTGATCGATCAATTTTAGACGAAGTTGTAATTCGGGGGGAGTTGTTCGATGAGATCCGCGAGTGTGCCTAATCGATTCGCGCGACGACATCGATCTTTCGCGCGAAAATCTCAAAATCTTTCCCCGTGTGTTTTTCTCGTCGGTGTCTCTCGCGTGGAATCGCAGGAATCTCGCGCTCTCGCACGCGGCGCTCACACAAGGAGAACCCGTCGCTGAGCGACTCAGCAGGGCGACTGCCACCTGAAACGCTCAGGTGAGCAGAGACCACCTCCGCCACCGCGAGAGTGGTCTCTCTGGAGAGACGGAGAGAGCACACTCGTAGGGAACTCCTCCCATGTCTCGCTGCTCTATCCCCCTCTTAAACGGAATCACCTGCGTACTCGTGCGCGCATCCTTCGATTGTGTATCGCAAAACGTAGCGATGTGAAAAAATTATCGAAGAGTGAACGAATTCGGTGGAATTTCAATGAGATCACGCGCAGATAAAAACAAGCGACGACCGAAGTAAGAACCGAACGTATTTATTTAAAAGAATATTTTTTTTTACACGTATGTAAAGTTAGAAACTATATAAGTAATTAAAAATGTATCTCAAAAGATCTTTGAAAATTGTTATGCGAACAATATTCACATGTTAGATAATCGATTTCTGCTCGGTCATTGGAACATTTGCCTCATTCCAGCGAAATTGCTCACTTGCGTAGTTCTTTCTCACGTGAACTATCACTTCGTGTTATTGATGATGGACAATGCACAGCAAAAAAAAAAAAAAAGAAGAGTATTAATGTAACACATTAACGCGAAGCATATCGCGAAGATGTTCAGGAAACGTATCGAAGAAACGAATCGCGAACGGATTGTTCGACGATCATATAGACAGACAGGATTTATCTCGTCTCGTTTGGCCTGATATAGATCGCGTTTTTTTTCTCTCTCAATTTTTTTTCAATATCATATATAGATAAATGACTGCGGAGATTTCAATTTGTCTGACGTTGAAATAAATCGCGGCGCGAAGAAGCACAGAAATATATCTGTCTCTCTAATACAATCTTCCTGCGTTCCAGTTTCGATACAGGACGATTCATTTGCGGCGTTTTCTTCTCCAATGTTCTTCTCCGGCACGAAGAAATTACCACGTTCGTGCGTGTGAGAGATCGTCGAAAAGTAAAAAAACAAAAAAAACAAAAAAAAACAAAAAAAGAAATATAGCGTGCGATACAACGTGAGAAAGCTTCCTGTTGTTCGACTTATCAATCATAATTTGACAACAAAAGTTGTAGCAGCGGTTGTTTGACGCCTGAAGTAACGTGTACGTATCCCCCCGCCGTCGCGCCGTATCTCTATCACCTGTAGAAAGGTGAACCGCGCTTGATATATCTGCAACTCGGGAGTATATCAAAAGCAAAACGCGCGCGCTCTCGCGCGCAAAGAAACGTACGTATGTACGTAACGTACATAGAGCCGCTTTGCGCCGGGAATTCGTGTGCTAATGTCAGCTGTCAGTGAGTTAAAGCGGATAATCGTTAGCGCTTTATGTTTATAAACGTCGGTATGGCATAATAAGAGAAACGTATATATGTATGTGTACGTGTGTACATGCGCTGGAAGTCGAAAGAGCGAAGGAACGGCGATCTCTTGCGAGATCGCAATTTTCTGCGATCGTGATATCGCGCGCGCGGTTTATCGACGATAATTGTCCGTTAATTTATGTTGATATCGGCGCACGGATAGAGGTCAAATCGCGCACCACATCTCTTTTCCGCCTCGTCTATAAATATATTAGTTTTATATATATATATATATAACTTTATCGCAAAACATAAAAAAGTTTCTTCTCTTTCCTCGTATAAACGCGTTATTTTGTTTTTACGATACATATAAATTTTGATATCGCATTTATCTTCGCAAAGGTCAAAGAAACCGTGATTTCTTTGCGCTAAGAGATCATCATTGTGTGCCGACGGGCGCACCAGACGCGCGTGTTTCTCTTTTTTTTTACGTCTCTCGACGGAACCGAGAATTGATAGGTGCACACGGTATACTTTTATCTACCTTGCCCGAATACGGCAATTATATACGTTTGCAGTTCTTCTCGAAAAAAAACATTGTGTGTGATTAATCTTTCATTAATGGATCGCACAAACGCGGTGCGATGAATTTAAATCGAAACTACTGATTTACTGTCATTTACGCGCACTCAGCCATCTAATTGAGTCGGAGTAACCAATCTCGTGTTTTTTTTTTTTTTTCTTACGTCTAACGACGAGCAATGCAAGCCAAGCGAGAAATAACGATTCTATATTTAACAACCGGATTTACATGTACGTTTTGTTCTATTTTTGTCATTTTACACTCGCCAAAGAGATCGGAGATACCGTCGATATCTAAATTAATATTGTAATGAAATAATTAATTAAATAAAGAATTAATTAAAGATCTTTGATCTTTATTAAGAACGCAAATATTAATAGTTTATGGTTTATTGTTAATAGTTTATCGTTTATTTTCTGCGCGCTGTGTGTATCCGGCAAAAATCTTTACAATTTGCAACGCGTTGATATTGTACGAACAAAAAAAAAAAAAAAAAANAAAGATACATTTCGCGGCGCGGAAATTTTGCGAGAGACTTTACGCGATAGCGACGCGTACTTGGAATCTTATCTGCTACAAAGAGAATGTAAATCGACGCAGTATCGAATTAGCAAGGAGTGTCTAAGATAGAAATGACATATCGTTGGATATTATTAGCTCGGTTTCCTTGTTTCTAAAATTGCGTCGCTCGCGCGGCGTGATAACAGTCACACACGTGTAATCACACACACCTTCGATTAATTTACGTGTGTAAGTACGCGCGTCTACCTACGAGCGTCAAATTATGATACGCAATCTTTTCCTTCATACACGACACATTTTTTTTTTTTTTATAACATAATTACACGTTCTGTCGCTTGAAATGAAACAGCACATGCTCTCGTCGCTTATCTGATTTTAATAAATGCCGGAAGATTGTCCTTGATGAAATTTTATGAGATACAATTTTACGCTAAACTATTACGCACTATCGCACACACGTTATTGACTTCGCTGCGGTGACGCAGAGAGTGCTCATATTTCTTTATTTAAAAATATCACAGCACAGGCCTTAAAGAAAGTATATGTATAATTGAGATGGTCAACAAGTCCGGTAATGCGTAAATTATGTTAATTTTCGACGAAAAAGTGTTCCGTTGGGAACACGCCGATTTGTCAGTGTCAGATCGGCGATTAGACGCGAGAGAGAATTACGTTACTTCCGTTACATCCCGTGAGAGATCATCCGACAAGATCGAGCGGAGGGAAAACTGATCTCGTTTCGTCACATTGACGATATTGCGAACACGAGACTTACCGGATGATAATGATGATGGACGACGAAGGAGAGATGTTGTTGCCGCTATTTTTGCGAAGTTATTCTATGGAGAGTTATGTAACGGAATCACCGTGGAACGGACAATTTCGAAGACACTTACTTTACATGTTAAACTTAGTGGCGCTGTTGTTTGTCTAACAGGAAAGGTGGAAGTTTAGAAAGTAACGAGAAAGAAGAATTATAAATGTGATTTCGTCATCGCGCATTTTTCTACACGAACACATCCCGAAACTTTCTAAGGTACATCACGTAATTGTTCATTTGAAATTTAACTTGACGTATAACGATCGCATATCGTATACAGAAAGAACTAATTGCTAAAATTGTTCGCGCGCAAAAAAAAAACACAAAAACAAAAAGTTACATTAACGGAACTTAACAACCATATCTGATCAGAACATCCCTGAAGGAAACCTGAGACCAAGCTGACGAAGCGAGAGAGAGAGAAAAAGTAGATTCCGAAAAAGACAAGTTTTTTTGAGAGAAAAAATTTTGATTGAAAGAATTGTGTTATTTATGTTTTTCTCTAACGTTAAACGTTTTGTCACGTTACGTCTCTCTCTTTCCCTTTCCGTGACAAGCGAATTTTATCATTCGACACAGCCGACAACGTGACAACCGTAAAACAGGTACCCAGATAAACAGGTAAATCGAGAAATGTGACTCCCTTTATAGATGTCATTAGGTTAGCCGGGAGAAGAAAAACATTAACAAATTTTCAAACGCGCGTTGAATTGAAACAAGACTCTCGGACCCGCGCCGATTCTCGCTTGGTATTACAAAAATACGGAAGAAAACACTAAATTCGGAGTGAAAGCGATACTCGTCCAACGTTTTATATATATAAATACACACACACACACACACATACGTACCGTCCGCCGCGCGCCTTATCAGGGTCGCGATAATTACGCGAACGGTACGTCGCTTCCATCAGCTTCGGGATCAACGGAGGAGGAGCTGAGGGAAGGGAAGCAATCTACACACAAGCGAAGAATTTGAAATTGAGTTGCAATCATCTTTTCGCCGGAGATGAGAATCTACTGCAACTTCAATAATTGGGTTAATGTTTCGGTGAGGATAGAACCGGCGCGCTGAAACTTCAGCGCGCTTTCTGTACTGTACAAAAAAAAAAAAAAAAAAAAAAAAGAGATGCGCATCACCTCAGCACTTCGCGCGTTTCCAATTGCAGGGCTCGCTCGCGCTAGTGCGCGGTGTAATTACGTGCGCGAAGATTTCTTAAGAAAATGCGTTTTGCAATAAATTCGCGACATGCTGAGATCTACGATCGTTGTTGAGAAGTACGACCCAAATTCTAGGGAACTCGCGGAAGAAACCCGCGGGGATCCGTTGCCGCCGTTGGCTCGCGCGTGCATGAATAAAACTCTCATCGATCATCGTGTCACGGTGGAAACAACGACGGCAAACACGCGACATCGTACCCGCGCGTGTGGAACAAATGACGGTGTGCGTTCCGCTCGTACGTCAGAGCGACCGGGTCACGCGCGGTTCACTGCCACCGCTAAATCCATTAGCGCGCGCGCGAAGAGAGAGAACGTTTTCTTCTAGAGGTTGGTTATCGGACACAACAAATATTGTTCCGCGCTCTCGGTTACCGTTTTACTCACATGTCGACCCCGCTGGGGCTGACACTGTTCGCGCTACGTATCTCGCGTTTACCGCGTGATGCACTCGCCGGTCAGCGGTTCCCAAAGGGATCACCTCTCTGTTGACATTTAAATTTCACGCCAAGCTCCGCGAGATTATTTTCTTGTGTAATATTGTCCACCTCCCACACACTTCTTTTGCAATTTTTTTTTCGCACGAAAGGAACTGGTTCCAATTAACATAATTACTTCGAGAAAAGTGATAGGAGAGAATATAAATTGCGAATATTAATTTCATGATCGGTCCATGCGATTGAAATATCATTGCTTCTGTGAAAATCGTCATTTAAAACATTGTCTCTCTACATAAACAATCGAAAGTGTTTAACGACTTTGCGATGATGGTTTTGTTTTCAAAAATAAAAGGCAATATAATGTGTGTTGTCGATAAACAAAAACGCGTAAAAAAAAAATTTGTCTTTTTATTATCTCATTTGACGGACATTTTAGCGTTATCGGAAACGAACGTGTAATACGCGAGGCGCACGTGGCGCGGTTCTTTTGCCTGTCCTTGTAATTCCAACGTGCGGCTCATTATTCCTCATTATTACTCTCACTTCACGCAGTTTGGGAACTGCTGCCTCAAGTGCGGCAGCACGAATCTTGGCTGTTTAGCGCTTCTCTCTTTGTACACGAAGCTGCGTGTTGTAACTCCAAAAAAAAAAAAAAAAAAAAAAAAAATCCACTCGGGCGAGATATCGAGTGTCGAACCGAGCTTTTCTCCTCTGCGCGGTTCACGGCTGCGATTTCTTCGAATTGTATCTCTCGTCGTCGATTCAGTCGGGTGATATCTTCTGCGCAACGAAGAAAAAAAAACCGGTGAGAAAAGCAAATTAATTCCCGTTACACACTCGGGAAAGTTCTCTCGCCGAGTAAATATTGTGTCTCGCTCTTATCACATCCTTCAAAAATCGAGAGATAGATGCCATTTAAATATGAAAAGAGAGACGAACTCTTATATGAATATACTTATATATACATTGATGTTCAAAAATACGAAAGAAGAACGAAAAAAATATGTCATAAGTAATAATTAACAAAAGACAATGAAATGTGGCAAGTAAATGAAATATCTCCTCCGGTCAATTTTGTTTTTTCGTCTAAATCGCGTCGTGAAAAATTGTCATCTACTCGCAACTCGCTCGAAGGGATGTGATGCGAGGAGCAAGCGAGGAGGGATACGGATGGAACGGTGCCTTGTTTGCACTTGATAAATGAACGGCGTTTTCTTCCGCGATGTATCGGCAATGTTTGCTCGTCGTTTAATGTCGACGACAACCTGACTCAAATATTTAGCACGTACAAAACGAGCACAACAAGAACCGTCTACCTACCGCGAGCTCTCATCTATCTCTCTCTCTCTCTTTTTATCTGTCTTCATAAAACTCGCGGCGCAGCGCATGTTCTTTGCTAATGTAAAAGAAATTGCAGCGGAGACGTCAAATAGATCGGCACGCGTTCTAAATTACCGGAGGATCAATAGCCGCGTTGACGTTGTGTCAACATCTCATTACGCGCACGTTATCCGCGTGTGCGTTAGCTCTCGTCTTATTTGATTCGATTTTTTTCTCGACTTTGTTTTTATTACTTTGCGCGAACGCACGTCTCCAGATATTTTGATTTTTCAACGCATTATTGTAACAAAAAAGAAAAACAAAATAACAAAGAGAATTGCATCCTTTCGACACACGAAATTGCGATTCGAAGTGCGCGCGCGCGAGAATGTGCCCGATCTCTTCTCGCTTCCTCTCTCGCTAAAAAACCGGCGAGCGAGAGCGGATCGGCGATTAGTTTTCATCGTCGTGGCACTAATTCTCGAGATCCGATAGATCGCCGATGGATCGTGAACTTTAATTGCTCCCCCCGGGACAATTACAGGATTCCAACCGGGCGGGAGAGAAAAGGAGATGGAACAGAGCCTGTACCAGGAAGGAAAGTCGCATTGTGAGCGCGGCTCCGAGTTTTGTATCGGACGGGATTCTCTCTCTATCTCTCGAACTCGATTCCAATCACTATCGTCGTATCGCGCAAATTGTCCGTAATCTCCGCGGCGAAGAGCACGTGCTTTTCTGGAAATAACACGTCGAGCGTCGTGCCGAGCGTGTCCAGTTGTGTGTGTGTGTGTGCGCGCGCGCGCGTCTCGCAATGGTTTTGTTAGCGCGCACCGCCTTTTGGAGAAACAAGTCGCCGTGTAGTCGATAGTTACAGCCCGATGTTACGAGAGGCGAGCATTGAACACAATCGGGGGGATTTAATCAGATACCATATGTGTGCGAGCGAGCGAATCGGTAGGAGAAGAAGGCGCACAATTAGACGAAGGCGCCGATCGTCTCACGAGTGTAAACTGAGAAAACGCGCGAAACACCGACGCGTTTTTTTTTTGTTTGTTTTTTTTTTTTTAAATTAATCGAGACTGCAAGTTCGAGAATTCGTGTTAATCGGTATATATTACCGAAGTTTCGCGAGATAAAGTCAACGTACGACGACCGTAAATTGTAAATTCGTAATCGAGGATTTCGTCGAGTTTCGCGCGATTTTCGATTCCGTCGCCATTTTTTATCGCGTTTTTAAGAGGGAAGAGTCGTTCAAGGCGAGCGACATGCTGCCGCAATTAACGGCCCGATATTTTATCTGAAAAACAAGGCGAAACAACCAATATTATTGCATCATGGTCGACGCGTGGCAGCTGTGAGAATACATTAAATCTCGGAAAGTGGTGCACCGGTACTGGCGCTAGCGCGCCAATTGCTCTCTCGAAGAGAGATATGTAACGACCGGCTGGTAATAATAAAAACCGCATTGTATGAATTCCGCGGTGACGCGACGACAGATCGTTTCGTCTCGAAACCCTCTTGGAATTTCGGACGTTTGTCGGCGATTTTTCGCCCGCGTCGATTTGGTTTGCGAGACTTATCGGGATTTGCTTCGCGAGTTTGTTGTAAAAATCGCACAATAAATCTCGCAAACAAAATATGATCGATCGTCGGAACGTGTTCGGGAAAACGTACGTGCGCGACTTTTCTCTCGCGACTCAAAATCTCGTCGGTTGGAAAAAGTGCGATGTGGATACGGCGAAGAATGCTGAATAATGTGCGCGCGCGCGCGCGCGTAACGTCGTCTATATTTACGCTATTGCGCAATCCAGGAACGTGCGGAGAGATAATTGACTGAGCGAGTAATTAATCGGGGCGGCGAATCGCGGGCGCGCGCGCGCGCTCTTTAAAACGGCGCAAATCCATCTCGGAAGAATTAGCGCGTCGGAAAAAAAAGCCAAGTCGAACCCAACTTCATTCGATATATCCTTCGCGTATAACGTTACGTCGTATCTCGAGGCAGGCGCTAGGCCATATTCCGTTTCTGCCATTCCGTTCTTGCAAAACTGGGTATTTCGTTACGTGACAGCTGCCCTCCCCCCGCGCATTTTGCGTAACACGCGACAATAGAGAGAGAGAAAGAGACAAATCGTCATCCGAGATGACAAAAAGATCGAGAAATTGTTTCGGATGATTTTTTTTTTTTTTTGTTTTGCACGAGAAAACACCGACGTGATGAAGCAAATACTCGAAGAAGTCGGGACGTCGCGCGCTCGTGGGTACCACGTAAAGTCGCATATCGCAGCGTTGCGAGCCGTCGAAGCAAATCACGAGGAAATAAATAATCGGTATGCACGTGTCGCACGAAACAATTTATGCAAATTGTTCGAGCGAGTTTGAGAAAATTACCCCGGCGCCGTTTCTTTTTCTCCCGCAGTTACAAAATCCCTCACAACAAATTCACTACGTTTCGGCAAACTTCCGAGATGTCACGAAACGCGGAGTCGCGTGTCACTTTTGACGTGAATTAATCATGAACCAGTTGAGTTGGCAAATTTCGTCAAGCTCACCGGACCGTTTATTCGGACAAGTAATAAAAAGTTTCAATTGCTCGGGCAATTGACAAAAGATTTTGTGCGACGCAGTTATATAAATTATACACGATCGTAATTGTACACACAGATATATAATTACACAATAAACCTCAAAAAGAGAAAGAAATTTCAGTCGATATTGCGATCGAATCTCTCAACGATTCTTTTTTTTTGTTTTTTACATAAATTTTGTTTTTTATATAAATTATATCAGATATAAACTTCAATCTGCAATTTTGATTTAATAAAATTTGTGTGTTCAAATTTCAGACGCTGCAGACGTATCACAAATAAAACAAAAACTTTTGGTGCAATTTCCATTTTTGGAATGACGCTTTTCGCGACTCCGATTTGAATAAACAGATTCATTTTAGAAGCGTCTCCGACGAGTTCGGATTACACCGCTACATATGGTAAGAGCATAGGAAATATTCAGAGAACCGGTGACACAAATTACAAAGCCATCGAAATAAACACCGAGTGTTCCAGACGCGCGTGTATGTGCGTGTGTGTGTAAGACATTCAAAAAAAAATGTTACAGAAGTTCGCACAGCTGGACGTCCTACCCAAAAAGAACAGATTTTCAAAGAGCAACGGTGCCACGTGCTGATAAACATCTACATTCATCCGAGAATGTAACATACAGGGAGAATTTAGGCGATCACTCCGAAAAAAAAAACTACCGTTCGGGGTTTAACATCTTCCAGCATCTTCGCAGAACGGGGGTCTGATGTCTTCAAGGTGATAAATATTACAAAAACTCTTAAATATATATATAATTAGAAATTTCATCTTTGTAAACTATTTTTGTATAAAATTTGTTACGTAGAAACGCGACAAGGAAGAAATGCGAAGCATATTCGAGAATTATATCGGTTATGGAGTTTTCCGAAGATAGCTTCGACGCACTTTCCGGCAAAAAGGAATGCGGAAGGATCGCACCGGCGATGTGTGTGCGTGGAAACGTTTCGGGAGTTACTTGTCCGCGTTGCGGACAAGACAGGAAACGTGCGAATAGAAACACCAAGTACGTCGACTCGAAAGTAAAGTTTCGTAAGAAAATTGATGATAAAAAATCGTGTATTTCGACTGTGACAAACGAACAGCAGTGTTGAAAAGCAAACAACAATTATCCTAGTCTTTTCGTAAACAATTATATAACAAATAGATATAAATCGATCGAAATCAATAACATCAAAATTTTTGTTGATATCATGTTGATCACTCACGTCGTCACGTCGAGACCCAATTAATTAAGAAGTTCCTAATTATGATACAACTTTGTATTTACAAAAGAAAAAAGTGAATCTCTCAATCTACAGGTTTCAAGAATTTTGGTTTCTTTTCTATCGGTTCGCCTTCCGTCTTCGTTTTTCTGTGCTGCGTCTTTCTGTGTCTCTGCTTGTCAAATTTAAGTCGCATTTTCTCCCACTGAACGGCCATTTGCTCGTCTGATACGTCAGTTTCTTGCTTCACCTCCAGCTTAGCTTGTTTCGCTCTTTCTCGTGCCGCCATCAGCTTCTCTATGTTCGGATTCATTCCTTGAAAGCTTAATCTACCGTCCGCGAGTTCCTCACAAAAGACGTAACTCGGTTCCACGAAGAACTTGTCGCTGTGTCCCAAAAGAAAACAGAAACAAAACACACTGAATGTCAATAACAACACCATCGCTGACAAATATTGTGAAATGTAGAGACTAATCTCGATCCAGTGGCGAAGAACCAATTTGGAAGTTTGTTGATTTGTTGTTGTGTTATTATCTAAACCCTAAATATTTATGTTTAAAAGAAAGCGATACCTACAATGAGTTCTTCATGCACGACTTGAACTGACTGCCGAAGTACTCCTCTCCCTCTTCTTGAAACTGTTGTTTCTCCACTTTGTCCTTTGTCTTCTTCATGAACTAAAACAAATATAAAAAAGCAAACAAATATTATTACACAATTGCATCCTGCACAAGATAAATCCTGTTCTACGCATATTGTGTTCGACTCTTACTTTCATTTGCAATATGCCCTTCGACAGAGTCACCTTCCTCGAGTCCATGATTGTTTTTGTAACGTTGATTGTTGTTCCTGGCGAGTATCTGTTACGAAATCGTTCGAAATCAATTCCTGTCGATTTCTGTTCTGTCGGCTTCTTTTGTGAGAAAGAGAGAGAGAGAAAACAGTCGCAATCACATTCCTAAATCGATTCCAAAGAGTTTTATAACGTAAGCTGCCAAAAGAACTATCTCGCTTTTTACCTCAGCTTTTACGTGTCTTCGATCAAGTTAACTCTCTTCTCGCACACCACACGTGTATATTATACCAATCCACGCAAATTGCGTTTGAAAAAATCCATGTACACACGCGCGCGCGACGTAAACAAGTGAGTTTACCTAACCTAACCCTAACCTCTGTGACTTTCTCGTCCGATCGCAGCGTCGCTCTACGGCTTCGAATCGAAAACAAGAAAGGAAACCAAACGACGAAGTCGTTCTCGACGGTCGATACGTTCTTTTTCGTCTTTTACCGATCGAGCGAGAGCGCGCTCGTAATTCCTCGCCTTGGCTCTTTTGCTTCCTGCATTCGCCGCGTAATGGTGGCTTCCGTTGTTGCTGCTGCTGCTGCTGCTGCTGCTGCGAGGACGTGCAACTGGCGGTTTCTCGACCGGACACTGGACTGGACTGCTGCACGGCTTTCCCCGCTCCTCCCGAATTTCGTCGACGTGAGAGAGAATCGCGTAAGATGCAGGAAAATCGCAACGAGCAATCGACCACGTTGGCTTTGTCAAATCCAAGAACGACTTAGCCATGCGGTGAAGAAGACAAACGCATCCTCTCTCGCGGAAGGTTGCAAGTCGGGAAAGCTTAATTGCGCGTATCAAGGTATATAGCCTCCGCAAAGTATTTTGCGCGCGCGCGTGCGATCAATAACAATAGGATTGCGCGACAAAATCGAACAATTCTGTTGATATTGAACGAAGAAATCTGTTCTCGCTGACAGATAATAATAATTCCGCGCCTGGTCTGCTCTACGGATGCGATTTTTGTACAACACGCGAGAAAGTTTCAATCTCGATCCCAACGGGGTCTTATCTCGAACCTCACTTTTCGCGTCGTGAGAAACGGAATAAAAAGAAAAAAAAATTACAACAGCTCAAAGATCACTCTCTGTTTGAATATTATACGAGTTGATATTTATTTTTTTTTGTTTCGTTTGTATTCCGTATTTGAGAAGTTGCTCGTACAAATTATTATTTCGTTCGTTTTGCAAGGTGGTGTGCGAATCGTATAATTCTGCGTTTTTGTAATTTTTTTTTGTTTTTCCAGATGTAAATTATAAACCTTTTCACATCTGAGCATTTGCGTTTTCGAAACTTCGCAAAATAACGCAAAGAAAGATATTTTTTTTGCCATATGGTAGATGTAAAGTTTTCATAACCTTTAAACATGGTTGGATTGAAAGTTTTTCCCTGTAATAATGAATACAAATAAAAAGAAAAAAAAATACCTATCATACTTTTAATTCTTTCTTTAATCTGCAACAGAACTTTAACTTGGTGTAAGAAAATTTATATATAAATATATATGTACATTGTACAAAATATACGCACATATATGACAAAACTTTTATTTACATTTGGTTAAAGTAAATCTCTATCTCTCTCTTAAGAATTAGATAAACAAAAATCTTTTGTTAATATTATTCATGTTTTATTGTTTATATATATTTATGTTGTTTATGTCTGTGCACACGCTATCAGTATCTTATAATTTTACAAATAGGACACAACTGAATTAGCAAAGATGTCGAAACGACCTGCAGAAGACAGCAGTTCACAACCACCTATTAAAAAGGTGCAGTTTGAGCCAATTCTGATAGGACCCATATCCACTCTTGAAGAAATGGATATGAAGGTTCTACAGTTTCAAAACAAGAAACTGGCACAGGTATGTGTAAATTTATACATGTATAAACAATAATATGTTATGTTGCGATATAACAAACTGTACATGAAGATGGATTTTATATTTCTTGGAGATTATTTTCGTGTTTATACATATATATATTGTTTCTCACACTTATTTATCTATTTCAGAGATTAGAACAAAGGCATCGAATGGAAGCTGAATTAAGACAGCGTATTGAACAATTAGAAAAACGTCAGATGCAGGACGATGCAGTACTTAATGTTGTTAATCGATATTGGAATCAACTCAACGAAGATATACGTGTGTTATTACAGAGATTTGATGCTGAAACTGCTGATGAATCCGAAAATAAAAGTAAGTGGGAAGACAAAGCGATCGGTTTTGACAAGAAAATTTATTTTTATAAATTGTGTGATGTCTTATTAGATGAGAGCGAAGCTACAACATCATTTCTTATGCAATTGTCATCGTGGGACAAGGAAGAATTAGATGATAAATTAGCAAACCGTGTCCAAGTATCTAAGCGTGCTGTGTCGAAAGTCGTGCAGGCATTTGATCGTTTGTCTCAGAGAAATGAAAAGATCACTCTTGCACTTAAGGGAGAGTTCGATGGTGGTGAGTATAAATGTGTGTGTGTGTGGTGCGTAACAAGAGCAAACTCCTCTTTAAGTAGTTTGTTTTTATATGTAGAATTTAGATAATAATATTTTCTTGAATGTACATGAACAAACTGGGCGATTGCTGTGAAACATCGTTAATTAATTTAAAAACAATTTAAGTCTATAATACAATTTAAAAAATTATCAATGCAGAAGAAGCGCCGAACATCGATGAGGTTGTGCGTCGTGCTAATGCGGAAATACAAATGGAAAATAGAAATTTGCAGGCTATAAATATACAATTGCACGAAAAATATCACACCATCTCATTGAAGGTAAATAACATTTGTTTATTTCTTTTATTTATATGTTTGGTTTCTTTCAGCACTTTTGTATTGGTATACTTTTGATCGTTGGATTGTTGGTTGATGACAAATAATTTTCTTTATAGATGTCAGAAATGCAAGATACCATAACAGGGAAGGATACACTCGCAGCGGAATTGCGAAATCAAGTGGACGATTTGCAATACGAGTTGAACAAAGTGCGAGCGAGAAACGACAAATTAGAACATCATCTTGGAGAAGCGATAGAGAAGCTGAAAGCGTTTCAACAAATTCACGGGACTGACGAGAAAGGCAGTAATAAACCGAACACTTTGGTTGCTTCAAGTGTCTCACAGACTAAAGTAAACTTTATTACTTTTATAATAAAGTGTGTTTTATATAAAGAGATATATATATATATATATATATATTTTTATTTCCAATGTTTTATCTTATTTACAGCTCGACGACTTGCAAAGAGAGCTTGAAGAGACACGTGAATTAGCTAATAACAGATTGCAGGAATTGGACAAATTACATCAGCAGCATCGTGACACTTTGAAAGAAGTAGAAAAATTAAAGATGGATGTAAGTAAAATAAACGTCTTAGTTTCTATACGATTTAGTTTGCTTTTTGATCAAACTAGATAGAAAACACATGCCGACGATTGCGACGATGCCAGGTGTCTTTTTTGTGTGTTGCAGATAAGACAACTTCCCGAATCGGTAATTGTAGAAACAACAGAGTATAAATGTTTGCAGTCACAATTTTCCGTGCTTTATAACGAGTCTATGCAGTTGAAAACGCAGTTGGACGACGCTCGTCAGCAAATGCAAACGAGCAAGAACGCACATTTACGCCAAATTGAGATGATGGAGGTAAGAGTTTTACATCGAGAATTGTGCTCACGAGTTGGTTAAGTTGGTTTTAAATTTTCTTATCGAAACGTATTCTCGTTGCAGAGCGAGGAGTTAATGGCTCAGAAGAAATTACGCGGTGAAGTTATGCAGCTCGAGGATGTCCTGGCGCAATTGCGCAAAGAATACGAGATGCTTCGCATCGAATTCGAGCAGAATCTTGCCGCAAACGAGCAAACGGGTCCGATCAATCGAGAGATGCGACACTTGATCACGTCTCTTCAGAATCACAATCAGCAATTGAAAGGAGAGGTTCACCGTTACAAACGAAAGTATAAGGAAGCTTCCACTGAAATACCTCGGGTATGTTTACGAATAAATTCCAACTATTACCCAAACTAGCTAACGCACACATTAATGCTTTGTGTTCTTAGTAAAAAATAAATAACATAGGATTTGCTTATTGAATTATCTCAGTTAAAGAAGGATATAGAAGAACTGACGGCAAAACTCGGCCAGCAAACGGCGCAAGAAAACAAAGAAGGAAATAACTCGGACGGCAGTGGGAAAGAAGAAGATGCGTCCAATTCTTTGCCAGGATCTACGCAGGTATGTTACACCGAATCGAGAATTTACATAATGAAGAACTTTTTTTTTATAATACAATTATCTTTTGAGATATTTACGCAAAAATTACGAGAAGTACTTCATCCTGGTGGTCGTCTGTTTTCGACAAATAGATAAAAGAGGAAAGCGGTGTTTCGATAAAGAGAGAATCCGGTGCTGACGAGGAGGTAGAAACGATCGAAGTGGGAGAAGGTGAGATCAATAAAGGAACGCCAGATTCTCTGACACTGACTTCGCCGACTCTGAAAAAGGAAAAGGACATCAAACGCGAGAAAGACATCAAGAAGGAATCCGTGAAAACCGAACATCGTGATCCTGCTCATCGCACCAAAGACGCAAAGATGGCGGAATCGGAACTTGTAAGGGATCTCAAGGCACAACTCAAGTATGTCTGTTGAGATATCTAGTAGTATCGAATAAAATCTATATATGAAGTTTTTTTTTTAGTTTTTTAGAAAATGAAAAACAAAAACGAAAGTTAATATTTTTAATTGCAGAAAGGCTGTGAATGAAATGAAGGAGATGAAGCTCTTGTTAGACATGTACAAAGGTGTCGGAAAGGAGCAACGGGACAAGGTGCAGTTGATGGCTGCGGAGCGGAAAACCAGAGCGGAGTTGGAGGATTTGCGACAACAGCTTAAGAAAATTCAAGTACGCCGTAGTGTATAAAACAATTGTGCTTATCGTAGAATAACAGCTTGACGTAATATAACGTTGCTAATTGCGTGTTACTTGCAGGAGAGTAAACGCGAAGAGCGTAAAAAATTAGCGGATGAAGACGCGCAAATAAAGATAAAAAAATTGGAAGAACAGGCGTACACGTTGCAGCGTCAAGTTGCTTGCCAGAAGCAGGTATTATACGTAAGTGCTTTAATTACAGCACACGTGGGACGTAGAATTAAACAAAATTTATGTTACGTTAAAGGAGGAAGAGGCGCTTCTGAATGAGATGGAAGTGACCGGTCAGGCGTTCGAAGACATGCAGGAACAAAACTCCAGACTGATACAGCAGTTGCGCGAAAAGGATGACGCGAATTTCAAGCTCATGACAGAGAGGATCAAGAGCAATCAATTGCACAAACTCGCGCGAGAAGAGAAGGATGTGTTGAAGGAGCAAGTGTCTACGCTGACTACGCAAGTAGAGGCGGCTAATGTCGTTGTGCGAAAATTGGAGGAGAAGGAACGTCTCTTACAAAACTCCCTCGCGACGGTGGAAAAAGAACTGGCTCTGCGACAGCAGGCGATGGAGATGCATAAACGAAAAGCGATAGAAAGCGCACAATCGGCCGCCGATCTCAAACTCCATCTTGGTAAGAATTTTTATATGTGCAACTTCTCTCTCTCTCTCTCTCTCTCTCTCTCTCTCTCTCTCTCTCTCTCTCTTTTTCCTCTTGTCAAAAAAATATATAAAGTAATATAAATCTTATGTTATATAGAGAAATATCATTCTCAAATGAAGGAGGCGCAACAAGTTGTGGCGGAGAAGACAAGTTCCTTGGAAGCTGAGGCGTATAAAACTAAAAGATTACAGGTATTATTTTACAGATATCGCTCTCTTTTGCACTTTTTTTTTTGTCGCGTTCTGAACTACTGACAAATTTCTTTTGCACCGTAGGAAGAGATAGCGCAACTCAGACGTAAGGTCGAACGTATGAAGAAGATCGAGCTTGCTGAGACTCTGGACGAAGTGATGGCGGAGGAATTGCGAGAATACAAAGAGACTTTGACCTGTCCATCTTGCAAAGTAAAGCGCAAGGATGCTGTTCTCACAAAGTGCTTCCACGTGTTTTGTTGGGACTGTTTGCGCACACGTTATGAGACGCGACAGCGAAAATGTCCAAAATGCAATTGCGCCTTCGGCGCGAACGACTATCACCGGCTGTACCTGTCCACTTGAAGAAAAAGGTGCTGATTAGCTGGAAAACACGCCGCGACGTAAGATTGTGTTTTGTAATGTGTTACGTATGCATTTCTCTTTTCTTTTTTTTTTCTTTTTTTTTTTTATATCTTTTATTTATTACTCTGACTTTTTCGGGGGAGGAAGGGAAAACGCGCGATCGCCTGAATATGTCATATGTATATTTCCATATGAATCACAAGTTTTTGCTATAAGTTCTTATTTGGAGATATTAATATATATATATATATAAAAAAAAAAAAGAACGCGAGTTTTCGGACTTAAGCGAATTTGTAGCACTCTCGAAGAAACAAGAAACGTTGCTTACTGCTTAATTTCACTGCTTGCATTCTTTTTTCTGTATTATATAGAGAATCTATAGTCTGGACATTCAACTGAAACATAAATAGAAATAAGTAAGAATGTGTGGGCATATGTTTACGTGCAAAAGAAAAAAACGAGAGATTCCAGTTTTATCAGTTAGCCAGTCACAAGTGTATGTGGATAAGTTAATTTTATTTATAAAATAAGAGACATGCCGCATTATGGTTTGATTCTTGTTTTTAAAGTACATCCGGACGAGGTCGTTGCTAAAGCTACATGCAGAACGATGAATAGTTTAGATAATAAACAATTCTGAATATTGTACTCGAGATCTCTTATTTCGATATCGTAAAACTAAAATAGAATTTATCGAAATTGAATTGATGGAGTCGATGTAATGTTGATAATCGAAAAAGTGGGGCAACTATTTAATCTAGATAAATATTAATCGCGCGCTCACAGAGTTTAAGTATTAGATGTATATATATATATATATATATATATTAAACTGATTGAATTCAGTTGACGTGCATGTCAATCAGATTCAATTGCCTTGAGCCCTGTCTACGTAAAGCGCAAAACGAAAGAAATATGCAAGACGAAATATCTCTACACACACACACACACAAGTAGTAACGTTGGCTCGGTACTGATCATTTGTGTTTTACGTGCGCTTTTGCAAGAAATCAGTCGTGCGACTGTTTTTAATCTTTCACGTCGAAAAAACAAACGTGAGATAAAAAAATTTGGAAAAAAAAACAATAATTTCACACACAGTTTTGAAAATATGATTTAATTTTAATAAAATTGAATTGTATTAAAATTCGGAAATTTTGATTTTATTTATTTCTAAATTAAAAGAGTTTAACAATTGGTAATAATAATTTGTATGATAAACATATTTATTTGGTTTCTTAGATGATAAGAGTATTGTTTTTGTATGTTAGGATAAAATTACTCTCGACGTTACGCAATAACAAACAAATTTGATTGCCAATTACAAGAACATTGTTTGATGATCTTCATCAAATGAAAAATTATGTGAGGTGAAATAAAAACAAAACAAAACAAAAAAAATAGGAATACAGTATATTTAGTGTACGTGCTAAATTTGTATATTTTATTTAAGAAGTATAAGATCTTTTTAGAAATAAAAAAATTATGTAATAAAGAATGATATATACATAATTTTTTATCGGAAAGCGATTATTACTTATATGCCGTTCTAATATATTCAACTATGTTCACAATATAAATTGGAACGTATAATCTATTTGTTTACAGATTAAAAACAATTTGTTCTTTAATCATATACTTGTTGTATTATAGATATAAATACTTTTGTAGAACTTTTGCATATAAAAAAAAAAACAAAAAACATCACCATGAATACTATTAAGTTCATTGTGAGCATTCATGTAAATCATATGTTGTAAACAAAACGAGATAGCAATATGGTAAAATAAATTAAATTCAAATTGTGCATCCGCGCGCTGCTACGTTTTGATAAAGTAATTCTTTTTTTTTTTTCTATTTACGTTTATTTTATTCTCGTTCAGAACCGGTACTTTCGGTTTCGGGATGAAGTTTCAAAGTATAGTTGTAAGGTTGTGTAAATATAAGCGACAAACATTTTTGTACATACTCATAATCTCGTGAAAACATACTTATGGGAATAAATCTTTTTTCTAAATATTACTTTAGAAAAAATTAAAAATACAATGATGTAGATATGCAATAAAAAATTTACAGTGATTATAATGAAATAAAACCTTTGTCTGTTTGAAGAAGACCACGTGATTTGTCAATCATCCACATATGTGCAGAGATATTTCTACATATATAATCACTTCGCAGTATGTAAGGATTTGTAAACTCTAGTGAGACACATTCTCTAAATGTTTGTTTGTTTACTTTGTATTTTATAAATGTCTTTTTATATACATGTATATTTTATTTTTACTCGTGAAAATTTCAATTCCTTTTCCACTACGCTGAGTGATCGAAAAGCACGTTTTATATAAACGAAACTACGAAGTACGTTGTAATGAACAAAGAAGGTATCGTTGTGTAGAATGTGTTTTTTTTTAATAAATAAAGGATAAAATTTTGGAAAACAGGATCACAGAGAGAGAATTAAATGATTCAATGCGAACAAACTTCTTGTACGAAATTCTTTCGGATTTTTATTCTATCTTAAGAAATTTGTTGAAAATCCTAAGAAACAGTTCTACACAAGCTTGAAAGTATCAACGAGAAAAGCCTATCTTTCGATCTATAGATTGTGTGTGTTTTGTTTACAAAGTTACTTCTTTTCGCGGAAATCCAATCCGCCAATCCTGATACAGAACGGCCAATAAATACTATGGACAGGCAATCATCCGACGTGTATATATATGTATATTTATATATATATGTATATTGAATAAAACTTCATATCGAGATACGCTAGAGTAGGAGTACGTGCAACTACTGTAAAAAAAAAACAAAAAAAAACCAGCAGAAGAAAAAATTAACAGAAATTTATTTTGCAAAATTGTGATTTTCTGATGTTCGAAACGAGTCATATCAATGTGTTTGAAAAAAAATGTTTTGAGTCGTGTATTCAAATTCTTTGTTTTATATTTGTTTTTTTTCTCAAATTAATATTTCGTGCGCGCGTATTTAAAGTTTGAATCAGCGCGTTTTGTTTTTTGTGCAAAAAAAAAAAAAAACATTCAACGATAAAAGATATACCTACGTCGCGTGGCAAAACAATTCAAACGCTTTTAACAAAAAATGTCACTAATCTTCGAGAATCAGAAAAATCAATTTTGCAAGTTGAATCACTGTCCATTTTTTCTAGTCCGCTCATTTATCGCTGGGATGTGATAATACGGATTATTATTTAAACAGAAAGCTTTTCAAAATCTTCGGCTATGTGACACTTCTTTGTTTTTTCTCGCTTGTAAAACGATTCGCGATTTTTTTTCTTCTGCACGCGAATTATGTTTCTTAGATGCATGTGCGCGATCGTGTATATAATAAAACTAAACAATGATGTTACAACTCAAGGAGAGTTATGTAGAGAATAATAACAATATTTTACGAAACGATAAACAAATGAGCACAATAACTATGTTTATATATAAATTACAGTCTAAAAAACAATTAAAATTATAAATGCGGAGAATTTTAAATAAATATCACTTACATGTGTTATACATGTTAACGCAGAAGAACGTCAAAAATTTCGTTATGAATATTTGATTTCCATATAAATCTCACTAGTTTACGATAGAGAGATAAGTTCGTCATTTTTTTTTTTTGTTTTTTTTTTGTTTTTTTTTTTGTTTTTTTATGTTAGATAGAATTTATTTCAATTCGACTACGTAACTTGAAAACTCGGACGATAAGAAATGTTTATCGCTCCTCCCTGGTAATTTATATATAAATCAATAAAAGCGAAATTCTCTCTAAACTCTCGGTGAGAACAATATTTTGTATAAAAAGCATATTACTTCTCTCTCTCTCTCTCTCTCTCTCTCTTTTTTTTACAAGACCAAGAAAGTATATACACGGGAACGTAATTCCCTTTTTCAAGTTATATTCTATAATAATGTTGCGACAATTATTATTTATAACATAGTGTGTACAAGCTATTCCATGTTCGTCTCTTTTCTCTCTTGTTTTTTTTTTTTTTTTTTTTTATGAAAGAAAACTACGCACAAAAATCTAGTGTGTCGTCAAAAATTTAAACTCGTCAACATTTAAAATCTGAAAAAATTCAAGCTCCTCGGTGACTCTACGTGTGTAGCAAACGAAAAGAATTTATATTACAAGGCACCGCATATATACAAATCTATCAGAAGGTTGAAACATCGAACAAGAGAGTAGATGATCGATTTTTGTCATTTCGCAAAATCCTAATCGAAGAAAAAAATTGATCTACAATCATCTTCAAGAAGTACATCCAGCGTGGAGTCAAGAAAGTAGCAAACTTGGAATAGTCTGTACAACATATATATTTATATATGTATATATAATATTTGTAAACAATATATACGAATCAATTCACGGATGGATCGTAAATAATTCTCGTTCACTGAAAGAGGACTAAAATGTTTCTCCCGATCTGATCGATCGCGTTTGTAATTGACGCCCTTTACTATTCATGCCTTGATTTTTTTGTTTATTACATTTATGTGTATTTGTATCTAAGTTTTTTTTTTTAAATTTCTCATATGTATTGCTTGATGTCGCGCGATCAGTCAGCGCTGATTGGGGAAAAAAAAAAAAAAAAAAAAATACGCGCGACGTTGTTCTCCGACGAGAAACTAATTTTTTTTATTTTAACTCTTTGCAATCGGGAAACTGTTTTGAGTTGTGACACAACTTGACGAATCAATCACACATCGTAAATATTTATACTTGGATAAAATTATTTAATATCGCGTTTAAACACTATTGACCTATCTAACATCACATGGGATATATTTCTCGTTTCTGTTTTTTTCTTCGCGATTCTTACGAATTATCATATTATTAAGTTACTTAAAAACACATCGCTCTAATAAAGTCACTTAATTATTATACAATTATCACACACAACGTCTCTTTCGCGAAATGTTTCGAAATTAGGTGAAAACACAGCGGGTAGAGACTGCTTCTTGATAGTGACAAGCAATTCTTTTTATTAATTTAATTAATTTAAACCTCGTTTCATACACATGGAACATGTTCTCGTCGCGTGCAAAGAGTTAAATCCGCAAAATCGTAGCAAAAAATTGTTTAATTGCTGCTTTGTTTCTCTCTCTCTCTCTTTCTCTCAGAATCGTTCGGTGTATTTTCGATCGATGTTTGTTTGATAACAGTAAAGAGTGTCCCGTTATATGATTGTTATCACATAAGAAAAACGTTTCTATATAGATTCCGCGCTCTCGAGACTACAAGCCGTCATTCTTTATACGTTTCTTCAGTGAGGAGTGCGGTCCTTTTCTTGAAAGGGAGGACGCGGCGAGGAGGGGAGGATATATTTTTTAATATATAGAAAATGCGCGAGGGTTGTTCGAGAAGCAAGTAACGACGCGGAGGGGAGATTTGTGAAAATTAACATCGTGTGTCGAATTGTGTCATTGAAAAAATAATGGCGGCAGAAGATGCGCGTCGTTCTAGCACCTCGTAGAGTTCTTTCTTTAGGAACAATTGCACTTTTTTTTTCTTTTTTTTTTTTTATTCTGCGATGGTCGCGCACATCGCAAATGAAAATTTTATACGGAGATAATGACGCAAGCCAGTTTTTTTAAAGCGCGTACTCGCGCGTGTACGTCTTAACGTTTCAATCACTGAGGTCAAAAAAAACCTCTCTTCAATGTTGCGTACATATATATATATATATGAGGTGGGAGAAAAGAGGTCGGTCACAAAATTGGAGGATCGAAAGTGTCGCCGGACGTCGTTCTTCTCGAACCGATCCGTCGTCGATTATTTTCGGCGCGCTCTCCCGTTACAAAACAAACCGTGTCCTGCCCGAGGACGCGACGGTCCAGTTCCATCGCACACGCAATACCGGTTACGAGAATTCGTTTTTATTTTACCAATAAAGTTTATCGCGCGCGAGCGCGCGCGCGAAAATGGACAACGCCACCACGTACATGTGCGACACGCTGCGTTTACAACCCGGAGAATACATTTCATCCTCCGACGAGCTGAAGAAGCTCTACCGAGAGATTTACGCGATTTACGTAGTCTACCGTAATGTACATTACAGTATTAATATATATATATATATATATATGTATATATATATATATTAACATATATATACATCTCAATGTGTGTGTGTGTATCGCACTGTATTACACGTTACAAAACAACGCCGATAAGAGACAGAGAAGTAAAACGCGTTCTTTCTCGTGGAGAAAAACGCGGATTGTAAACCGCAGCGCGGGTAACCGGGTGGGTGGTTCCACTTCCGTCGTAAAACGGGAGCTCGAACAATCGCGACTAACAATATCCACGACTATGTGTCCGCGAGAGACTATTTACAGATTAAATACACGAGGAATTTTTTCTTATGGAGAGTTTCTTCCCGCGCGCTGATACACGCGCGCGTTCGTTTTGAATATAGCGATATATATATATATATAAGTCAATCTTTCTTTCTCTTTCTCTCTGATCGTTCACACGTTCACCCTGTGTTCGACCTGACATTCTCCCGCAAAGCACACAACGCTCTATTATTAGGGTTTCTACTTGTTTCCTAAGTGTTCTATCGATCAATCGTTCCAGCAGTTCGTAGCCGAAAAAGGACGGCTTTGTGTCTTCCTCCTGTCGTTCTGTCTTCTCTCACTTCGTGTCTTCTTCGAAAAACACACAATGAGAACTACAACAGATTGTTCCTTTTATTTTCTTATTTACTCGTCGGACATTTTGCGGCATCGAGATGTTTCTTTGTTATCTTTAAATTGGTGAATTCTCTCTATTGTTCCTCCGATATATTATACAGAATCAACTCACGACATACACACACATGCGCACACATTCTCTCTCTCTCTCTCTCTCTCTCTCTCTCTCTCTCTCTCTCTCTCTTTTTTTTCTCTCACTGTTGTGTAAAGCTTGACTGCGTTTACATACAGAGTCGAGCCTCTTTCTCTCTCTCTCTCTCTCACACACTTTTACAATATGTTCCTTCGAAGTCCCACCTTGCTATCTAACAGCTCTTCCGTAGTTTTCTACATCAGTATGGAGCTACAAGGCGACTTGTGGCTTTAATATTCTCTCGAGACCGCACGTATTAGAACTAGTAAACTCTCTCTGTTCCCTCATTCCGTCGTCCCTTTGTCGTTCCGTCAAACAGTTTGGAGCTACAAAGCGACTAGTTGCTTCTTTTATAATATTCTTCCTGAATCGCGCGAATCTACAGTTGTAAGTACAGCTATCTCGGTGATCGTTTTTTTTTTTTTTTTTTTTTTTTTTTTTTTTTTTTTTTGTATCAATCCCTATTTAATTTTCATCTCAATTCACCGCTGTGTGTTGAACGCAACGCCGAGACGATTGGCTAATTTTTATTCTCTTATCGTTTTGTTTTTTATTTATTTTTTATTTTTTTTTTTTTTTGTTTTTTATTTTTGCTTCGTTCTTTTCCTTCAACGAGTCTAGAATTGCAAAGTCACTCGTTTTTCTTTTTCTCTAAGCACAACGCGACCATTTCCGACTAATAAAATTGTTTTCTTCGACGTCTACAATTTTCTAATTACTTCTCCGGTAAAACGAACTTCACGAATCAAGTAAATTGTTCGATTCGATCGTCGTGAACGCTACAATTCTCGAATAACTGTTTTTCTCCCCCCCCCCTCCCTCCACATCGTGATCAGATCACTTCCTCATTTTCTTCTAAATCAAGTTTCAGAATGACTCTTCTCTGTCACCTTGACGCTACACACACTTCGAAATGCAATTGCTAACTATCTCCACCTCGACGATTCGATTTTCTTCCTTCATCGTTTTCTTCATTGTCTCTCCAAAGATTTTGAAGGCACAAGACGATGTGTCACTTTGTCACTTCTTCGGAATATAATACTAGAACCGTTGACTAGCATCTCTCTTCTCTGTCCCTATTCAACACTTTAAAACAAATCCTTGAAACCTTGATTGGATGAAAACTTTCTTCGAGCACGTGTCTCTTCCTCGCGTGCGCGCGCGCGGATGAACACTTCTTTCGCGAGTTCATCACTGATCATCATTTGTAACAACAACACATTGACACTGAGAAAATTATCATTCTATGGCGGCGTCGTCGTCGTAGTGCGAGAATTTGAGAAACACTTGCTCTAGAGTGGTTTGACTAAAGCTGTACTCCTCTATGTCCAGTTCGGCCTTAGCTGTAATCAGAAAGTTTTCATGGAATTATGAAACCTGTCGCGAACAACGTCAACATCGCGCGATAACAAACTCTCGAAAAGCTCTAGCAAGTTCGAAATTCTGAGTTCAAGTTTTTTAGCACAAGAACAATTTTGAACTTTTGTGTGTTCTTTATGACTGGCTATTAGACCTCGCAAAAAATTTCAAGAATCATTTAATTTCTTTATCACACAAGCTGTTTTCCTCACCCTTTTCCAACTGCGTGAAACACTCGGCCAGCGAAGTTACAGCGTGTTGAGGTACGGCGAAGACCAGTCGATCGGCGAAACTCTCTTCCAGAGATGCGTCGGGAAAGAGACCGGCAACAAACTCCTTCAGACTGGCGATCCTGTCGCCGGAAGGTGTCGTCGGCGTGCGATCGCCACCCATCAGCTTCATCTCCAGAGTGTAGCCGGCGCCGTAAAGGTTCTTCAGGTGTTGCGTCGAGCCGATGCACCTCAACTCGCCTTTCACCATTATGCCGACCCTCGAACACAGCGCGTCGGCCTCCTCCATAGAATGGGTGGTCAGTATGGCACCTCTGCCACCCTGTTGGCAGATATTGAAAAAAAAAGAACAGAATGTAAGAAATCCGATAAAATCTTCACTTAAGAAAAAAACTATCTCCGAGTGGGATCAAGAAATGCACATTTGACGTGTACTGTAGATATAGATATGATATACTGACCTGAAAACTAGCGAGGATCGTGTCCCACAGGAATCTCTTCGATTTCGGATCCATACCCGTGCTCGGTTCGTCCATGAGAACCACTTTGGGCCCGCCGACCATCGCCATCGCGAAGCTGAGCTTTCTTTTGGTACCGCCCGAGCACTCCTGGCTCTGTTTGTCGGCGTGTTCGTGGATTTGCAGACCGGCCAGATACAAGTCCACGATCCTATAACAGCAGTCGAGGGAATAAAGTATTCAATGGCGTTTTAAACGATGAATGGAGGTCTTAATTAACGGATGTTCATCATAGTGCAGTAGAAACGTTTAATTAAAAGATAATACCTGTCGATATCGCCCCACGGAACACCGCGAATCGCGGCGTAACACTCGAGATGCTCTCTCACGGTTATGTTCTTCCATTGAGCGTCGTGCTGGGGGCAATAGCCCATTTGTTTGAAAGCTTCGGCTATGTGACTATTGATATTGTGACCGCCGATCTGCACCCTGCCTCTCGTCGGTGTCTCCTCGGCGATGATGATCTTCATGGTCGTGGTCTTGCCGGCGCCGTTGTGACCCAGCAGACCCAGAACCTCGCCCGGCTCAACTGCCAACGAGAGATTCCTTACGGCGATCTTCGGCGGTTTCTTCTCGGCCTCGTCGCGCTTCGAACAGCAGCCGCAAGACGATCCCTCCACGCGTTGCCGATATTCTTTTCGCAGATTCTACATTCGGACGTTTTGCACAAAATGTGACATCGGAAGAACATATCGCGCGTATTTTCCAATCGCCAATTCTTCTCTCTAGTTCACACACTGAGGTGTTCACACATTAAAATTACCTGAACTAATATTACAGGCGGCTCTTGAACGGCCGACGAGGTGATTAGATTGAAGACCTTCTGTCGCTCGTTTTTGACATCGGCGTCCTCGTGCTCGCCAACGTCCGTGTTCTCGACTATTTCTTCATTCGTGACGTTCTTCTTGCGCTACAAAAATAAACATACACGTGATCGTAACCTTCTTCTCTGTGAAAAAAAAAAGAACAAATCCGCGCCAACCTTGAAGAGATTAACGTTGCCGCCGCTCTTCTTGATATCCAACAGAAGTAACACGTAGAACCAAAGCGGGATATGTAGCAACACACCGAAAGCCATTATTATAATCTCCGTCGTGAGGTAGTCCCACATGGTGAGATGATGGCAGGCGGCGTTGATGGAACACATCAGGTGAACACGTACCACGTAGTATACCGCCGCGTACGGCACGTACATGGTGTTCAGCAGAGTGAAGACCACGTGCAACGCAAACGCCGCCGTCCCGCCTGCAACAGATAAAGCACGTAACTTCTAATCCAAATCTAGAAAAAAAAAAAAATATAGACTTGCACACATTGTAACCTTACTCCTATAAAACAATTTCAATCGTTCGTCACTTACCAACTCCCAGCATGTCGAGAACAATGACGGAAGAGAACGGTAACAGTCCAACGAAGGTCGCGACGTTTGGCAGAATGCTCTGCGCGGAATCCGTTTTGTCGAACATGTAACTGAAACAACTCGAGAAGAGAATTGACGCCGGACAGTAAAGCATGAGAAGTGTGCCGAGTGTGATGAGCGCCGGTAGCTCTTGCAGAGAAGGCACGTCGAAGAGAAATATAATGCCGAGAATGCACAAGCAGATAATGATCATCAGGCCGATCAGCACGATGAAGTAGCTGAGGAAGTACACGAAGAACGACAGGCCGTTCACGCGAAGCTGGTTCTTTGACTTGATCTGGCAAAAATGATTTCAAAATTATTTTTTTTACACATACATCAGAGTATTAAAATTATTGTGTTAGAAAATTCTGTAAAATTTTGCTTTTTCTTAGTTATTACCTCGCGATCGTAAACCATATCAACCGCTAATATAATTGGCACCAATACAAAATTCATGCCAATGAAGACAGCGCTACTGGCCGTGCCGATGTTGAACTCTTGGGGTTGCGACGTTTTCTGGAAGGGATGCGTTTTCACTTCGATCGGCGTAATGTCGGTTTTGCCCGAGATCAGTCTGAATATATAAATTTATCATTTGCAAAACAATATATGTGGTTAATTACAACAGTTGAAGGCAAATTTAAAATGTTTAAGATAAATTGTAATTCTTAGATACACTAAAACAATCAAACTACATTGCGTTATTCTAATTTGTGTTGATACTTTTTCACATTCTTTTCATGATAACTCACTTGTGATAAGTGTTGGAGAGGATGTTCACTAAGATCGGAAGGGAATGTTGCATCGTGCTGTTGTACGTGATAGTTAGAGCCATTTGCGGCATGTCGTAATTGCTAATGTTGAAGGCGGCTAGATTCGGTGCGATGGTCAGCAAGTCTGCGTAACTGCCATCGTATTCTTCGATGAGAGTCACATCCTGAGCTATGCTATTTATGAAGTCGGTGAGTTCAGTTCCGCTACTATTTATGTAGACAATCTTGGTTTTCTCGCCGTATGTTTCTTAAAAATACAATAACGTTTATTTATTTATTTATTTTTTTCAGCCAATCGACCTGTCATACATTTGTTAACTTTCTCTTCGACTTACTGGTAGTGAGTTCCAACGACTGTATCTTGAGATCCACCGTTTGTATGCTGTGTAAGTAGAGCCCGACCGTTATCAGAGCCAGTGGCATGATAATCGTGAAGTACAGCAGCTGAATATTCCTGTAGAGTCGGAGCACTCGTATACGTAGCATGGCGTAGAGAGTCTGAAGGAAGTTAGGCCGGATCTTAATGGGGTCTAGGCCGAGGCCGAGAACAGCCGGATTTCGATCGTTATGGACGCCGTCCGGTAACTCGCTCGCTAAGAAAAACAAATTATTGTTGCGTCATCCGGCGTGGAAAAAAAACAGACAAAGAAAACACACACGTGTGTCAATAAATTGATTGGGATGCTTACTTTTTCCTTGGCTGTCGCCTTGAACGGTGATGCCCTCGTTTTGTAAACTCTGATACGACGTGCTCTTGGATTGCAACGAGAGCGATCGACTGAGCGCGCGATTGCGCACCATTTTCTTCGACAAATTGTCCATCGTGCACTCGGTCTCCTCGTCCTTCTCGAGATGCAGAAACACTTCCTCCAGGGTGGTCATCGACACGCCGTAGCTGTTGATGCCGAGCCGGCTGGAACGGGTCTTGATCTCGTGCTCGATGGCGGAGAACAGAGGTGCGAAGTTTTCTACGGAATTGTGAGGTAGGATAAAGCTCAATTCCCGGCCGTGACGTCTCGCCTTCTCCGCTTTGCTCACGTGCGATATCACTAGTCGATTGATGGCGTGTTCTCTGGCGTTGCCTTCGAGTACTAAGCTGTAGAACATAATTAAGATAAAAAATTGTTAATCTTCGTGGCACCAGATGTATGAAATATATACAACAAAAACAATATTAGTAAATCTCACGTTAAATGGTATCCAATGCCGAACTTGTTCTTCAGGAACAGGGAACTGCCGCAACATCGAAGTTTTCCCTTACTGATCACCGCCTTTCTGTCGGCGAGTATGTCCGCCTCGTCCATGAAATGAGTCGTCAACAGTATCACCTTTCCGTGTCGCCTCGACTGCAAGAGAGACCACAGTTGTCTTCTCGAGTAAGGATCCACTCCGGCAGTGGGCTCGTCCAGAATAATTATTTTCGGATCGCCGATGATAGCGATTCCCACGGACAGCTTCCTCTTCTGACCGCCACTTAGATACTTCACAAAAGAATCTGCTTTCTCAACCAGATCGATATCCTTCAAGGTTTTCTTCACCTAAACGTTTTAGCGGGAAATATAGATATTACGCACAGAGAACCCGGAGAAGTACAATATAAACAAACTGATATTGTTTTCTACTTGCTTCGTGTTGTATCTTCGGGCGCGGGATGCCGCGCACCGCGGCGAAAAACTCGAGATGCTCGCGCGGCGTCAGCAGATCGAAGAGGATGTCGTGTTGCGGACAGACTCCCGTCATGTTGCGTATCATCCACATGTCGTTGGAATCGCGCACGTCGTGGCCGAATATGAGAGCGGTGCCGGTGGTGGGCGCGGTCAGTCCTGTGAGTATGTTGAAGAGAGTGGTCTTGCCGGCGCCGTTGTGGCCGAGGATGGCGGTGATCTGGCCCTCGTAGATGGTCAGATTGATGCCGTTCACCGCCTTGATCTCAGGACGCTTGCATTTGTGATACGATTTGTAGAGGTCGGTTATCCTGATCGCCTCGCGGCCCTTCATCTCGCGCACAACCGGCTCCACGTCGCGATTGGCCTCCTCGCCCGGAATAAAGGAGTTCGACTCGCCGTTCGACGATGGCACCTGTAAGTAATTCTATGAAAACAATAGAGAAAAAGAAGAAACAAATACTCATCATCATCCAGCTTTTTTGCGAGTGTTTTATATTTATTATTATTATTATTATTATTATTATTATTATTATTATTATTATTATTATTATTATATTACACGTATCTTTACGAGCATATTATTATTAAATTTAATGCGACGGAGTGTTTATAAATTTTATAGATTGTTATTTTTAATAACTTACTCTTTGCACTTTTCTCTTGCACCAGAATCTAGGAACAAAACAGAACCACGGTGATCTCTTCGTTCCGTATTCACCTAGAATGTAATTCTTATATCAAATTTTATCCGCTTTACGAAGTATTTTGGCAAATACATCAAGATGTAAGACAGCATTAAAACGTACTTGGTATCACGGAGTCGAAGTAGTAGGCCAAACAGGCGTACAGAAAGATATCCAGAGTCATCATGATGAGGCTACCGCCGAAGGGTATTCCGGGACCGGACCACAGGTTGTCGAAATTCACTCCCTCGCCCTGCAGATCCAACACCAGAGCCTACGTACGAAACAAACAGTTTTTTGAGCTACGTATCAAATTTTTTTTTTACAGTAAAATCGATACCGTGACAAAGACTTAGAAACACCTTCTATTATTATGTGTTATTTATAAATATATTATTTATAATATAAATACATCGAAGAAAGTGTTTTTTGTACCTTGTCCATCGCAAGCGCGACACCGGCCGGACTCAAGACGGAAACTATCCAGAACGAGACCGAACTGGAGTCGTCAACGAACACCTGAATGAAGTACATCAGACTCAGCGTCGTGATAGAAAAGTTACCCAGAACTCCGGCGGTCTGAAAGAAATAACGTTGTTAATTATAAAAACTGCGCTTTTTAAGAAAAATGGAACTTTTAGGTACAACAACTTTGAGCGGGGAAAACTGTGCGTTGAGAATTAACTTACGCGCGACTTGTCAAAGAACGGCGTGATCATGAAGGCGAACGTGATCACGGAGAAACTGTATAGAACCACCAGAAAGAATATCGGCAAAAAATGCGTGTGTTGGAACATCTGCAGAGTGAAGAGCAGCACCACAGCTACGGCGGAGAGCAGTAAAACGAAGATGCCGTAGATGATGAACCAAGACAACCTGTGAAAATGATAATTGAGATCAAGTCAATTGTTGTCCATGTTAATGAGAAAAAAAAATCACAACAATTGTGTCAAGTTGTTGTGAGTTAACGATCTTACCAAAACACAGAATCGTTTAGGCCCATCATCTTCATCCCTTCTTTGATCTTCTTCTCCTTCTCACCGACAATCAAGATCAGGAGATAGGTGATGAATTGTGAGAGCGCCAGGACCATGTAGAGAGGAATAACTACCCTAAAGGCTAACATCCAGTCTGGGAGAAAAACAATATTAATTGTTAATCAACTCACTAATGCAATTCAAACAAACAGAAAATTTCCCAAAATGTCCACTACTTACCAGCAGTGTACGCTTCCTTGGGAAGCATTATTAGGTGATAGTACGGCACGTGTATGTTGGGTTTATTTTCTGTGTCTAACTGCAAAAAGAGACATCAGGATAAACATCGAAACACTACTGTTTGATCAGATTTTCTCGATCGGATATATAATTTCTATTTCTGTTCAAATATTCTTGAAATAAAAAAATAAGTAGACTGACGTGGAATTGATAAAAAAGAAATGTGAATCGATTGGATATCTGATTAAACACCCAAAAGAAACTCACTTTGATCTTCGTGAAATCGATTATCATCTGCAGGGCCAGAAAGCCCGAGCGTATGTAATTATTGACAAGACAGGATTCGCCGGTCTCTATCGATAACAAGCCCATCAATTGGTCGTGGGTGCCTTTACGACAATTGACCGCAGAGGAGTAGAGTTCGGTTGGCGAAGGCAGTGAGATATATGAAGGATTCGTTCTGATTTCATACCTGAACACGAAGATGTGAAGAGTTTCTTAATTAACAAACGACGTTTGATTGTTGACACTGTGAGATTAAAATGGAAAAAAATTAATAAGAGAGGATTTTCCCTCTTGTGTTGAATTAACGTTAAAAACAATTTGTTCTTAAGTTTCATCTGTTCGTACATGAAAAGAATCGACAATATTATTTTTTGGAACGTCTCCCATTGCGAGAAACTTTCTCTTCGTTGCTTTACACTTTCTTTTATTTCTTTATATCCTATCAAATTATTCTTTATATCCTTAAACGGAGTCACGCACTTGATACAAAGATTTACGATAAATGATGTAAAAAGTTACAGTCTTACATGAGACGCTGCGATATCGGCTGAGGATCCTCGAAGATAACCGCCATGGGCACGCTGTACGGATCTCTCCAGTATGCCGCCTGGAGATTGTCCTTCGTGTCGAACACCATAAAGTTCAAGGGTAGCTTATTGGGATTATGGTCCCACGTATCGAGCCACAGGGTGTTCATGTGGCTCAAGAAATTCTGGAAGATTAAATTTTTGAACTTCGCTTAAGACAGCGAAATTGTCGCGATGTGTGTGTGTCGCTAAAACACGCGGGGATTATTAAATTAACGCGATTAAAGAAGGGAAAACTTTTCACGGACAAGAGTGTATAATTTGATTGTGCGAAATAACAAACGTTATCGCGTAACAAGTTTTCACCGTTTCTCTCGAACGATTTAAACTCGCCACGTACGTTATTTGAACGTGAGAAGCGTGTGGCAAAGTAATGATACAGAGGGAAGTATATACTCACGAGAGTCTCCGTAGAATTGGGCACCACGGCTATCGTGATGTTCTTGGAACCGTTGAAAAATTCGACTATATCCATTTCGTATTTCGACTTCGTGATCGCGGGATAGTTCGGATTCGGTATGCAGACCTTGAGCACGATCAGAGCTCCAAGGATATAGAGGGGTAGAAAGATCTCCTGCGGGCAATCACACACAAGCGATGACACACTCTGATTTCGGCGGCGGTTCAATCTTCGGAATGAAAGCGCCGATTTACACGGCGCGTCTCGTTCGGGACGAAACCCAGCTTCTCTCCCGTTCGCGTTCGCGCGATTAAATAATAATTGGAAAACTTTTTCTCGGCTAAGGGAGAAGCGTTTTTTTTCGCATCGCGTGTACATCGAAATAAACGTTTTTTTTTGTCGACTCTCTTTTTTTCCAGAGAGAGAGAGACGGCAAAGAAATTCTGACACATGCGCGGCGTTCAACACGAGATTACCGTTCGCGTATTTGAAAAATATTTTAAAATTCGTTGCGTAAGCGCGGCGAATCGAGAGGGTTTTTTTTTTTTATTTTTGTTATGTTTTACGAGCACATTTTTCACAAAATATACAAACGCGTAACCGCGCGCGTTTTATCGCGCGTATGAATAAGAGAGATCCCCTCATCGCGTTTCTCGCAGTTAATGTCCGTAATGTGCACGCGGATAGAGGGTAGAGTTTCCCTCCGCGTTTTTCGCTGTATCCTGACCCTTCTCTAAACAAACATACGGAGTAAATTCTGCACGACAAGAAATCCCCCCCGTGTGCGTGCGCGTATCTCATGTAATTATTCCGGGTTTCCACCACGTACGCACACCTGCCGTGTTTTGCTGTTTTTTTTTTTTTTTCGCAACGCCACGCCGGACACAATATACATCCCCGTATTATGTTGCACTTTCCTTAAAAAAACAAAAAAAACAAATTGACGTGCTCCGATAACTCGCGAGAAATTTATACGAAACACTCTTTTCACGTGACAATTTGAAGGATTACGCAAACACTTTGCACGCACGTTCCTTAAGATTTTGTTTGCAATTTTGAGAGATTTGAAAATCTCTTGATAAAAATCAAAGAATATGAAATAACAAGGCGTTACTGAATTACTCTTGATAAAAATTCAACAAGAAGTTCGAAACGATTTATCATCGAAATAAAGGAGGAGGCTTTGGAAACAACTCATGTCGCGTAATATCGCACGGGAATATGGCTTCGAAATGTCGTCGCCATGGCGATCAACAAAGAAGCCGACCGCGTACCTTTCCACCACGATGATATTATTACACCGAAACGTCGAAAACCTAAACCAGATCTCTCAGAGGTCTTTCCGACGCCGTTACATTCGAATCGAACGTGTGCAAAAAACCAAATTGCGTCTTTTCCACGTCCCCACGGTATCAACGTGTGACGATTACGTAACGCCGATCGATATGATGCCGGTTAAGAAGGTGTCGTAACATTCGGCGAGCAATTTTTTTTTTTTGTCTGTTTCGAGGAGAAAAAAAGAATTGTGAGCGGAACAAAATAAATACAAACACACACACACACACACACAAATGGTAATTGACTTATTAATCTGAGATTTAATTCGCTGTTCACCTGCACGCGTCGCCAACGTCATTTTAAATCATCTCTCTCTCATCTATCACGCATTGTCGCTTTTGGAAAGCGACGCCTTGTAAGACAAGTTGTAAGAAAAAGCAGATTGTAGCAATCAGAGACAAATCTTGGAATTCTGATAAAAAAAAAAAAAAGGTGTCGTCGGAGGGCAAGGATCTCGACGCGATGTCGTTTTTCGTGGACATTGTCACCGAGGACACGTTCTACGAGAATCTGACCCTCGGCGTGGTCAAAATACTCGAGGGCTCGCCGTGCGTGAAAAATGTACGGATCGAGAGACGAAACGGACAGGAGCCGAGCGCTATCGCCAGCTGGGAGCAACGTCATTGCTGTGCACTTCCTGAGGACGTCCGGAATTTCTACGCCTCGATTGACGGTTTCCTGCTGCAGTGGAGTCTCGAGATAGCGGGTAAAACCCTCAATACCCTCATTCTAATCTCGCACTCCCGCACTCGATCACTTTTTTTCCCCCCACGTATTTTCGCATTTTTATTCTTTTATCAATTCACATCTTTTGTTTTACATTAATTTTTTTTTCTTTTAGATATTTGTTTCACCTGTCTTCTGTTGTTTTGTCTTTTTCTTCTCTTTTTGCTTTGTCGAGCAACACGACTCGAATGCGAGTAAATACACGATGTATAATACGCGATAAGATAAGCATTACCACTTCCTAATTACCGAGACCATTATTCACTGATTTATCAAACTCTCCTGCATGTCGCGGCACATTTCGTGTATCGACAATTCTAAATCTTCCGGTTGGCAAACAAGCAAATTGAAACTGACACGTGTCATTCAGCACGAACGTGACCCGATTTTCTCGAATAATGAGAGATAGCAAGTTCAAACATCGTCTCGTCGAAAACAAATATCCGTACAATAGTGTGAAAAAAAAACAAAAAAAAAAACAAACGAGTTCTTCATGCTTCAAATGTCTTTCAAATGTATTCTGAATTTTTTCGAGTTGAGAGTTTTCAGCGGTGCGCGAAAAACTACAAATGTTTTCTTGCACAAAATATCAACACTTGGACAATTCTACGCAGGTGAGGAGTTTTCGATAGGTCGCATGGAGATCAATAGTCTGTCGTCGTTGAAGCGATACATCGACAGGGATCGTCAGACGGGATCGTCCGCGTCGGATTTGGGAACTCACGCGGCGGAAAACGCCACGCAGAACGCGCCGGACAACGACGTGTTCTCCGATTCCCGCAACGCCAAGTTCTTCGAGATCGGCCAGTGCTTCCCGGGTCCCGACAACGGCAAAATCTATCTGGCGTATCGCCCCAAACAGGAACAGGACACGCCGAGTATCTGGCTGCACCGCGACGGCAGCTGGTACCATCTGGCCGACAGTTTCACCGTGTACTTTCGCATGATGCTCGCCCATTTGGGTTTGCCGTTGTGGCAGTGTTGCGTGTCCGGTTTGGCTCTGCCCACTTGGGTCGAGCAGGCGTACTTTCTGGTCGGGCCGCATCTCTTGCCGTCCACCGTCGAACCCGCCGAGACCGTGTCCGCGTCGTTGTGGAACAACGGCCCCGTCAACGTTCTCGATCCGGCTGTCTTCAAGACCAGAGACGGCAAACAGAAGAACGCTCGCAAGAAGTGAAAACGAGAAGTGAGAAATGCCACCGCTCGGGCAATTTCTGGTAAAAATTGCCTTTCGCTCGCACGTGCGCGAAATCGATTCTTCTTCTTATTGCGTGTGAGAGAATTTCTATATAGATGCATCTTGTACCTTTGCAGGTCGAGCTTTCCGTTATATGTATTGCGCAACATATTAAAACATAATTTTTCCGTTCGTTGCGTCGTCACACTTAGAGAGGTTTGCGTTCAGATGAGAGAGCGTAAAACGATATTTGACCTGTGTATTCACGTGTCAAATAAATAAATTAATTAATAATAATAATATATATATATATATATATATATATATATATATTAATTGTTTTTATTTTTTCCTTTCGTGAAGTAGACTCTGACTCTTATATTTCACACGGCAAAGATGCAGCGCAGCGCGATAACGTAAAAGAACAAAAAGAGAAAAATTTGACATAGATACTAAGCGTCTCTCTCCCTCTTTGCCGTCAACCCTTGGCCCAGTTGGCACTGCGATTACGCAAAAACGTCCAATTGGCAACGTAGTTGGCGAACCGCGATGAGAGACGCGCAGTCATACCGTCGCCGTTCCCACGAACGCGCCGCGCGCGTTCGTCTTTCCTTCTTCGTTATTTTACTTTCGCCCGTCTTTTGCCGCGCAATTTCACAAGTCGTCCGATACACGCCGAAATCTTCTCGCGCACGTATCGCGCGCGAGAGAAAACAAAAGCACTCACACCCCCATAGTCGAGAAAAAAAAAAGAAAATCTTCGCGTGTGATGATTTCGACGATATATGCATTTCCGCGCTCTGACTCTACGTACATACATTATTCATACATCCATTTGGCATGTGATCACGGCGTGCTCGAGCGAGACAGGTGTCGATTTGTAATATTATCGTTATATTTTCTTCGAGAAAATTACCGAATAAATAAAGCTGCACAACTATTCGCCGTGTATGTATACACGTTGTATGTATACACACATACATATGTACGTGTGTATACATACACACATATATGTATATATACGTACTGTGTCTCTCTCCTATTTTGGGATCTCTCTTTGGCGTTACAAATTCTACGTTACTTTAAAATATAATCGATCGTGAAAAAAAAACACACACGTCGTACAACCAATGACTTTTTACGACGGAGAATTTCAATTTGCTACACCGAGGGAATAGTTTCGTTTCAAATCGATCAAATACGTTTTCTTGAAACTGCTACTTTTTGCTTTTGATAAAAGAAATTGTTTGCGTTCAATTTGAGCAGAAGTATTATATTGTTTCTCGTTTACAAAAATACTGCTTTTGTAAAAGATACTGGTTTTCAAATCCAAAGAATCTAGTTTCCTCTAACTAAAAAAAATGCGTTCCAGAATATGTTGTGTAAAAATGATTGAAGATTAAAATGTAAAGTTGGTTGAAAATTTTATGTAGTTTTATAAGTGCGCAATAAATATTTAACTCGAGAAACTAGACGTTTTGATGCAAATACTTCCATTAGCATCGAATAAAGTGGTTTTTTTCTTGAAGAAAATAAAATTTTATTTTGTTTCAAGATAATATTTTATCCATCCTCGGTGAGCTACGTGAAAATTATGAAGATCATAGATCGAACGTACCGCCATTGTTTTCCGCTTATCGCGTTGCTTCAGCAGGAGATTTCTTACGAGCATCGCCCGCAGCTGGGAAAAGTAGACCGCGCACGGACTCATCCTGCGAGATGCGTTCACCCTCTCGTTCTCTGCAACAGAAACGTCAGGGGGCTGAAACGACGACGAAATTTCAATGCGCGTGCGAGCGAGCCGGGGGGGTAAAAGCTCTAATTCTGTTGCGCCGTTATTGCGACAATTCAATCTTAATTCAATTTTGCATTATATACACATTCAACGATGTATCTCTCGAAAATGTCAAGGCCGCGCTGGTAATCCACGTCTGGTAAAAGGGATAAAGAAATTAAACGCACCGCTCGTTATACAGTTGACTCTCCACAAGCGTGGACGTTATTGCTTTAAAGCGGAGATTTAGATCGAAAAGCGAATTAAAAATATTAAATGGTTATTTTTGTCACTTACTTGCAACAAAATCGAGAGCTTGAAAAAATTGCAACTTCGTAAAAAACGTAAAAGCGATAGGCGCGATATAAACAAATATTATTGTGGAAGTGTCTTCATCTTACAAATAATAAATTAACAATATAATTTTTAAAAAACACACAATATAACGTAATACAATTTAAAAAACACAAGAAGTGAAACTAAAAATACATTTACCGATTTAGTCGTTTTTTTTTATTTGCAAGTATAAAAAAACGAGTTGCGAATGACAGGTGGAAACAAAAAAGCAGTAATACACGTAATCCGCCGCTTATTGCGGACTGTAACTTGCCACTTAATTAATGTTTGAAGGAGGGGAAGGCAGACTATCTTGCTCCCCTCTCTCTCTCTCTCTCTCTCTCTCTCCACTTCAAAAGCCTACAAGAGCGCGAGCGACGTGGAAGAAAGGCCGTGCTCGGATGAAGCAGACGTACGACTGCTACTACACAGCACACGGGCCGCGTTCTTCCCGATTAATTAGCTCAATTTGTTTGCACATCTGCACGACGCGATCTACTCACATCCTCTCCCGCCGCCGCCGCCGCCGCCTCCGCCGTCTATTCTCCATAGTAAACTCGCTCACGTGCTAACAATACAGCTGCAGCGATCGTTCGACATTTGCGTTAATTAATTGCTCGGCGACCGAAGTGAAATTTGGAGAATCGGTTAGCGAATTTAACTGTATGTATCAATTACATTTCCCCGCGGAATTCCAGTGCGCGAATATTTAATACACACACGTATTCGTCGGTGTGGAAGTTGAGAAGATCGCGACTCTCCGTTTTGTGCGCGCGCGCGCGCGCAAAATTCCCTCGTCTTTCCGGCTTTTTATTTTTCCAACTTAATTTTCCATTTTCCCGTTACAAAACGCAGGCAAAAAAATTGCGAGCTCTAACTCGACGATAATAGCAAAGTGGTTAAAAAACAAAAAAGACAGAGAGAAAAAAACACAACGGAGAGATACTCACGTTAATTCTGAAGTGCGCCGCGTCCGGATGATCTAAGGGGGCGACTCTAATCGGCCGTACCCTCTTGACTGTGATTGCTGATGGTCCCGGTTCCGTTGCTGTTCCCGGTGCTGTCGTCGTTGCTACGTTGCTGGACGCTGCCGCCGTTACCGACGCCGATCGATTCGCGCTGCTGGGACGTTGCCTTACCACGTGACGCGACGGCGGCATCGCAGCGACGGACGACGAGGACGGTGCGCTCGGAACAGCGGTCGCATCCGTTGCTCCTCGCCATGCCTGGCGCCGTTCACGGCTGTATTTGTTGTTTTCCCCGAAAAAAAAAAAAAACCCGAAGACAAAGGTTATTATCGACACAACTTCCGCGACGTTTCGGTCTGGAATTGCCGCGACCTCATTTTTTCGCGTTTCTCAAAAGAGAACCATTTTTACCGGTGCTCCTTCCTCCATTCTCGATAAGAAGTGACACTCGGAGGAGTATCTTAAAGCGCCGTTCACGCCTTCTTTCTGGATTATTTTTAAACGCAGCCGTATACATATACGTATCGAGAAAAAGAACGAATATAGGTTTGATTGAGACGATCGTGTGACCATGTGCTGACTGAGTGTCTGAAGCCTAATGAAACTTGGCATATGAAATTCGGGTTTTAATAAAGCTTGGCACACATAGCGCACCCGATAAACGAATTTTCCTCTCTGCTGCTCCCGTTGCCAAGAATCGTCTCTCTATCTCTAGACGCGGCGAAACCAAACTTTTACACACGGTCACCCGGTATATAATTTGTTTGACGTTTACCGCGAAATATTTCACACATGAGGGTGAGAGAGCAACCTCCATCCGTACGTAAAAAGCAAGATCGGATCGAGCAACGAGTAAATTTTGCAATATTTCTCGCCGCACGCAACACAGAGCGAGCGCGGAACAATGGACTAATCTGAAAGAGTGTAGCGTTAAATATATATTATATGTGTAAATTTACACATACACACACACACTCACACACATACAGACAGACGTATATAGACGAAAGAAGGAGAGGGAGAGAAAGAAAGAGACCTACCTCCGACCACAACCAGGTCAAACTTCCCTGCGGTCGATGAACGTGATTTAGGAACGTGCCTAGACGAGGACCAGGGGAGAAAATCTTCCTCAGAGTCTGATTCTTCCTCTCGATTTTCCCACGTTGTCCCATTCGATCACGAACGCGAGAAAATCATCGTCCGGATGCAAGTTTCATCTGCAAAGCGAAGAAGAGAGAGCGATTCGAATTTTTTGTTTTTGTTTTTGTTTTCTTTTTACCCCGCGAATTATTTCGCGCGCGGGACTTTGAACGGCGCGCGCGCACAAACAAAACGAAAAATCGATTTCCGTTTGTTTCAATTCAATGCCTCGATCGGATTGCGTGATTGTTTATTACCTGCGCGTAACGAGATTTATCACAAAGAGATCGTTGTATTTATTACACAGAGATATTCTTAATTGGTTGCGCATGTTGCCGTTCTAAATACGGAAGATCGATAACATAATAAAGCGATTCCGTTCGTCTGCTTCTGTCCGTCGTAGGAATTCTCACAGAGAAGAATTCGCGAGAAACGGATACCTCGCATTTGCGTTGCAGAAAAACAACCATTTTTGTTTTATCGCGGGCGTTGCGTATAATCGCAAAAAACAAAAAAAAAGAAAAAAAACAATCCAAGTTTTTTGAGTACATTAACTCAAAATGTTGTCAACTTTATTTTTATTTTTTTCCAAAATTTATTAATTACTTGTTACTCGGTGTTTTTGTGTTTCGAGAGCACCGCGAAACTTTTAATTTAATATCATCTGCGAAGACGTTCAGAGCAGAGCTAACTACCTCGAATGTAGAAAGATGATGTATTTTCTCTCTACGAACGTGACATTTAATACTTTTTAAAGCTTTTTATAAGCCGTTTTATATGTGATATAATTGCGTCTTACATTCTCTTCTCGTTTCGTTACCGACGGGGATTTGTCCCGCATTTTGCGTCACTTTGATCGAGGATTTATTTTCTAATAAACGCTCCACAATTGTTACATCAAGATCTTTAATTCTTTGCGCACACCACTAGTGAAGGTTCCCAAGTGCGGAAGATCGATAACATAATGAAGTGGTTCCGCGTGTTCGTCGTTGAAAGTGATGTGTCCTTGTTGACTGACACACTTTTTGCAAGAAGAGCCAGTTCAAATTTAATATAAAGTGTTTTTTTTTTCCCCGAGTTAAGCTCCGGAGGATATAAATAACATAACGCACGCGTTCAGTTTGATTAAATATTATTAATTATCGTGTTGCAGTACGTAAACAGATATAACACTGCGTGTTATTTACACACACACACACACACACACAAGACCATTTTTTAACGCGTTTATTTTTGTCGGGAGAAAATTGAAAATTGCAATTTTACGTCCTTATATTTTTATCGTGTATCGTCGCGTATTCTCATCGTGAAAGTTTTATGTCGACGTTACTAAAATAACATAGATACCAAGAGTTCTCTGAAATTGTATTTCCTCTTCTTTTAACAGAACACACACATTCCCACCGAACATATATTAACCACGTACTCTTTCTCTCTCTCTCTCTCTCTCTCTCTCTGTCTCTCTCTCTCAATTTGCATGTGATAAATAATAAATCCGAAAAAAACAGAAGACGGGGAGCGCACGGCGCGCGAGTAGACACGCAGCAGGGTCGTCACCCCACGGCACGAGGGGTTGCGAGGTAAGGACATACGCGACCGGGACCAGACAGGATGTCGCCACTTCTATCGCGACAATGCGCACTTGAGAAGGGTGCATATATATGTATATATATATATGTAGAAGAAAAGGTCCTGTAGGAGTGGAGCAAGTTCGATTGCGTTACTTTTCCTTGAAAATGTAAAGTAGAGAGGGAGAAAATCTTGAAACATCGCACGCAACGCATTTACATCGCGTTAAAAAGCAAGCGCGCGGCTTTACAGCGATTCTGACAAACTTGCAGAAGCAGAAAATAAAGTGTACCCAATGTGCTTCAATTAGAGCGGAATGACTCACGCGAATGACATAAATTCTTATTAAACATAATTAAATTAAACGTCAACTTATTTAACGCGCTTTCCGTTACTGCGGATAAATTAAACTACTTGATATAAATACTGACGCTCGGATTATTCTATTTTATTAGCGTCGGATTACACCGCATTACGCTTGATTAGACTCGCTATGATCTATTGCTTCTTCTTACATTTATGTATGTGTATGCGACGCGATATGACGTACGATTGCGCGCTCTAACTTCTTCACCCCCTAACAGTATATCTTCTAAATTACTCTCTTCTTCTTCTTCTTCTTCTTCTTCTTCTTCTTCTTTCTCATCTCCTCGATGAAAACGATGACATGAGAAAAAACCGCATTTCTATTCATCGTGTAATCGCGCCTCGTACACACGCAATATAATCGAGAGAGGAAAACGAGCGTGAATTTCGCTTCGCGGGGCAAACGAGAGAATAGTTTCCCCCTTTCCCCGCTTTCCCCCCTCCCCTCCACCCCCCGAGAACAGGAGAGCGCGATTGAAGTGGAGGATTTTGCGATTTCGCGTCGTGATCGATTGCATTCCTTGTGAGTTTCTGCCGGCGACAGATCTACTTATTCTCCTTTGATCTCGCGCACTGGCGGCGCTTTAATCCTTCGCCGCGAATGTCCGTCCGCCCTCCATCGTCGTCGTCGAAGTCTTCGGCGCTCGCTGCCATTATGCCACCCACTCTCTCTCTCTCCTTCTCTCTCTCTCTCTCTCTCTCTCACCCCACGCCGCCACCTTTTGACATCAAATGCCTCGGCATTTAATGCATCCCCGCCGCGCGTTTCGAGAGCACTACTATCCCGCCGATTCGCCGTCGATTCGCTTAGACAACGAACTCTCGTCCTTGACAGATCAAAAGAAAATATCGGCGAAGACGAGCTTCGCCGTCGCGCCACGCGACCTCGAGGAACGCGGATATCGCGCTCAATCGCATCCTTGAACATCTGGATTTTGTTTTTTTACGATATTTTTTAAAAACTCCGTCTTTTTTTTTCTCTCTCTCTCTCTCTCTCAACTTCGACGTTGTATGTTTGAAGAGACAAAAATAATAACAACGTATTACGATAAATCTTTCAACAAAGTGACCAGATTTTCCGTCGCCAATTCGGAAACACTCCATTTGTGATAAACAAAACAAAAACCGTCAGATCAGAGAAGAGGCTACTATATTTATACACGTGCGTTATTATTGCACAAACAAAAACAATGAACAATCGAGAGGGAAAGATCAAAAGTCGGAATTCTTTCGATAAAAGTGATCATCTTAAAAAAGTAAAAGATGACACTGCACGCGTAAAAGCTCGTTAATTTTGCAAATGCAAGAATGCTTGGAAAATAAGTGTCATTACACATTGATCAGTTGTGTGCGAAACTAATAGGAAAGTTGTTGTCAAATAACTTGCGAATTATAGACACTAACGTATACACCGGCATATAACTGAGCAATTGGTGATTCATACGTCACCAATTGTTGGACGTATATCCACGAAATGACAAATGGTTACTGTACACTTCGCCGGTCGCACAAGCACACGGAGAAAACTGTTATGGTTGCTAGAATCACATTATCTATGGTTAGAACAGCAATTGATATGAGTTCAAGTTAAATAGATATTACATCAAAAGTTGCTGTTGACATAAGCTCATTTATATAGTTCGCACAGCCATATTTAAATGATACGTAATATTCAATTAGTATATTCGCATATATTGTTGCCTCAACCAAAAGAATATGATACTTCTCTATTATGATTTGTAGAACAAATACTACGGTTGAGGGATCCATACGGTTTTTTTACGCGATACATTTGAGTGACA